TTTTAACTTTAACACACCATCGCACGATCCCATCGATTCCGTCGCTCTAGAAGTTGCCAAGGCTGTATGTCTATAACTGAGTAACCGAGTGATTCACGGATAGTTTGTCCCAAAGAAAACCGGATCGCCAACTCGCTCGACACCATCCCGGGATATCACGCTGAGCGAACCGGAAAAGAAACTCTAAAAGGGCGATTAGCTCGGATCCATTGCGAACTACAAGTTCCATTTTTTTTATTTCGAATAATGGTGCTCTCATTCAGCTCTGTAGATCGATCGAATCGGATTGCAGAGTCCCATTATGAGCCTGGTATATCATAGGAAATGCAGGTAGGGGCACATGGGTTGAGATGGTGGCGTTCAAGTTGGTTGTCGGAACGATGCGATATCATCGGGAGCCTTAGACAGACGCCCACGCGCGCATGACGTGCAGTACGTACGTACCTCATCCGCCTCATTCAAAGAGTTTTCCCCATTTAACTCTTTGTTATTGAGGGGGGGGGGGGGGTGGAGGCCCGGGGTGACGGCGGATGTAATGTATATATTGGGAACCCGTGGCCACGCGGACGAGAAGAAGCGTGATCAGATAAGGCTAGTCCTACAACTGCGCGCACAGACATTAAAAGAAAAACAAAATGCCGGAGTTGCATGACGTACATTGTATATCGAATCTTGCCAGTACGTGGGGCGCTTATTTGTAATCGAAACGTCGTGGAAGACTGGCGTTGGGTTGTAGTGCTCCTAGATGGAGAATGCCCCATGCCCTGCATGGCTCTCTCTCTATATATAATATCGGTCCGACTTGTCGCTTGCGCTCCATCCTTCGATCATGATGGATCGTGACATACGCATGTATGGCCGGCCATTCATACGAAGAGAGAAAAAAAAAACAAAAGGCTGCCTGTACGTGCACAATGAGGTCAGGTTCTTCGCCCTCATGACCTGATTCTGATCCTTTTTTGTTTTTTTTTCGGAAAGGGAGTAAGTAAGTAAAGCCGTACTGTGTTTAGAGTAAATCCCACAATATTTAACACTATCCCTGCTGAGAAATACATCGGTTAATCGATAAATTGCCGGCCTTTGCGAGAAGAGCTAGATCTTTTTTTTTTTTTCATCCATGTATTACGGGAAGGATGTACCGTGCGCACACGCAATGCACATGTGCCATGTGTGTGTATATGTGTGTGCCTGGCGCGGAGACTTGCCATGGCGAGTGTATGTAAGCGGGCGCCTGCCCCACTTGAATCAAGACCAGCTAGGGTCCTGTCTTCTGAGCCATTTTTTTCTTCTTCTTGTTATCTCTTATCTTCCACAGTAACGGAACGTCCCACCCCTGGCGGTTGCAAGTGTACGTCGATTGGCTCATGTCAGTCCCTGTTGTTGAACAAGGCCCTCTCAGCAACTTGGCGCGCGCGCGGCGTGAAAATAATAAAAACAAACACAATTAAACATTAACACTAGTAGTTGCGATTCCGGTCTAATAGCTTACTTACGCTTGATTCTCTCTCAAACCTCTGAATGTGCGCGCATGGGACAGGGTTGAATGGATGCCTAAAAGCTAGCTAGGGTCTATAGAGATACAGTAAGAGCTCCCCGGCCCACTCTGACACACACACACGTGCCACCATCAAAACTTGGTCCAGGACCATTCTTGGGTACTCACAAAGCTAAATCAATGCTTTGTTTCACGGTGCGATCGGTCTAACGACAAATTCCATTAAGGATCTTACTCTGCCTGGACATCCTCGATCGGAGGAAATGTACTTTTATGGTGTCATCTCACTCGCACGGCGGTACCCTACTAGTATCAGGTATATGCATATATCTTTGCCGTTGGAGTGGCTGGATATATATGTATATATGCGTATATATGTGCAGGGATGTTGTGCGTAGTACGTCAATGCATTGAAATGCTGTTCATGCAGTTTGTTCTAGCTACCAATTTGAGATATCATTGTTGTGTGTCTTCCAAGGTCAGTTACTTGTATGCTCTCGGGGGGACACCATGCATGCCTTGTGATCGTGGAACGCCGGAGGGTGTCTTCATTCGTCATCTATGTACATCTCTAGCTCTCTAGCTAGCTGGTCTCCATCGACACCGCTATATGGTACTAGCTACGGTGGTCTAATCGGATGGATCTGATCAATCCTCCTTCTGCCCTAGATTAGCCACATCTGCGCCCCTGCTGATTACTGCTTACACACCCTGAGTGTGATGATGACAACAACAACAACTTTCAAAGAACGATTGGAAAGAAGAAAAGGGAGAGGCGAAGAAATTCCATAATCACGGACATAACATATACATACACATGCTTCTTTTCGGTTCGTAGCCATGCATGTCACCCCTTTGGTGCCGCAGGTCCAGAGGGTTGGGTTGAGCTGGCTAGTATCGAGAAACCCTATATCGATTCGTTTCATCTTGGTCTTCAACTCAACTGATAAGTTTTCAAACCGATTGTACAGTGTGCGCACATGGCTAGTATATGTGGTCTAGCTACATGCATGTGCGTAGGTCGATGAAGAGCTTGATAGAGGGTCACATACGTCATTTGGCTCCTTAGGCTGCCAACTCAGTAGGACTGTAAGCGCCCCCCCTAAAGAATCACGAGCCGGTGATCACCCCTGGCCGCGCCCGCGCGGGACAAGTTGTTCCCCTCTAGCGCCGCCGCCACAGTATTCAAGGTTTAATCCATTCCGGATAACAAGTTCTCGCTAGCTAGGGCGGGCCCCTTACTATCACTATACATAAATGCATCGATGCACAAGTACTGGGATTCTTCCGAATAGTTAACCAGATGTTATTGATTGAACATTCTCTAGGTCTAGCACCCTCCCCAATGATGTCATTCCTGATATAGCAACTGCTTTGAGCATGATAATTCGAGATCGGGGACAAATGACGTACGTACCGGCGGACTGAGATTAGGCTGAGACGTTCAGCCCGCTTTTCCCTTGCAGACGTCTGCATGGCCGTCGTGTCGACTCGTCAAGGACGTTAGGGGCTTTAGTTCTTAGTGAAGCCTTACTGTTTACTTTCTCGGCATGGAAAACCTTGATCTAACATGTCCTAGCCAACCCCCCCCCCCCCCTCTTTCCATAATAAAATCGTTTGATGTCATAGGCATCATCTGGAAGTTCTGATGAATAAGGGTTAGGATTCTACAGTACTAAAGGGCTAGGGGGTTGCATCAATTCGCGATGGGCCCTTCCTTTGCATGTATGGATCGGTTTCTATGGCCCTGAACACTCATGATCAGTGCCTGGCGTATCCCAACGGGGATACTGTACTGACCCTTGTACCCTTAACGTGTGCGCGTTGCACAACTTGCATTATATACGTCCCTCACCCTGTCGTTCACCTGGTCAACGTGCGGCTAGGCGCTTTCGTTTGAAAGATGCGCTTCTACCAGCTGAACGTGCCATAACCAACCTGCCCGATGAGCTAGCTTGTATTGACAGCTGCATGACATGCACGGGGCCTCGAGGCTCGCTTTCATCCGTGCGCCCCAGCGTTTATTATATATATCGAAAACATAAGATTAGACATTATGTCTTAAAGCGGAACAAAGTGCTGCTTGCTTAATCGGAAAGTTACTATGTATATGTTAGAAGAACTCCAACTGCCAACGCCATTTACATCACATTCGTTCGTTGACATACATATGTAAATTGGATTTTACATGCGCGTTAAAGATGTTTTTTTTTTTTTACGATCCCATGCGGCGTGGCAACATTCCTTTCTCCCAAATTGTCAACTCTTGCCTATACAGCGCCATTGATCGGTCTCTACCCCGATGTGGCGGTATTTTATGCCACCTAAGGGGGGGGGGTGTGTGGGACTTGACGTTGTACGTTGGTAGGACATGCTTACGTTACGTGTTACTGGTAGCGGCAACTTGAACGGGCGACGGTCATCGCGGGTGGGGTTTAAAAACATTAGCATAATTTCTAATGATGGCGGTTGTATATAGTTAACTTGGAAGCAGATTCGTCACTCCACTAGTCTTAAATGTGCCGACGCAGCCGGACGAAGACAATCCTGTTTGGATACATATATACTACTGCTTGGTCATTGTGGCCGATTGCTAGTTAGCTTATAGTAGTTGAGCCACTTTTCAAATTTTTTGCGCGGCCGGGCCGCGCGCAACATGCATCGGCGCCATTAAATTTGGGGCCTAAAATACTAAAATCTGAATGATGGGTTTATTTACTATTCATGCAACTTTTGCATGCAATCTTTCGAAGGTTGTCTGAATGGCGGACGTACTACTACCAAATGATACTGTTCTCTAAAGCTAGCTTGGTTAATTATTCTGACCAGAGAAAACTCTCAATGATCTCGAGTTCGTGTGTATATATTATATAGTAAATTGGACCGGAAAATTATGTGAGGCTGCAAGTACGTACAGTGTGCGATTGCAACGAAACATCTTGATCTTTGGTCTTTCAGTTTCAAGAATCACAACCTTCCGAGCGCGCCGTGCCGCGCGCGTAAGCAGTGTGATCATCAATATCATGGCAACGCAAAACATATGAACCGTCCAGTATGCAAGTCAAAGAACCTCAATTGCAGGACTCAAGCGAGCGCGCGCGAAAGCTATCAACAACGCCAAAATTCCCATATTAACATGATTACATTTGGTTTGCGTACTTTTAACATCGAAAATACTTCGCAGCCTTTGGTGAAGATAGTGATAGCCCGAGTCTTGCGTCGAGTACGTAAGGCTCGGCATGAACAAATCATTGAGAGTGCCAAATTTGGTTTGTAGAGACAGTTGTTGTGACTGCAGTGATGTGGCGTTAAAAAAAGGAATAAGCAGCAAGGTTAAAGTCAAGTTTGTCTATAAAAAATAACGTAAAACGGGATGAGATATGCCAGCCTGTAGTGAGCACCGAAGACTAAAGAGAGCATGTGTGTGTGTGGGCATTGAAGTTCGTGACTAGGGAGTGGGATATATTTCGGATTCGAGGGTAGCATGACAAAGGGAAACCCCGAACTATAATGAGGATACTGGGGACACTGCGACGGATGGAGATGGTAGGTCAGGTGTATCTTCCAAGGGTGGAGGTGCACTTTCGCGTCCTGCTCTTCGTTTGGCCTGTCGAAGAGAGAGAGAGAGAACATGGCGTGGAATCAGAAGAAAACGGCATGGCACAATCGTAAAAGGACTGACCTCCTCATCAAGGTACTTGTCCATATCGTCTGAACGTCCCTCAAACGGGCGCTTACCCAACTCACGTACCATATCCTCGCTGGAAGAAAGTTATTAACTTGGGGTTCACCAAGATTTGGGCAGTTCATACCGAGTAATGACCTCTTTTTCTAGCAGAAGTTTCGCAATTATCTCCACTTCAGCCTTCTTCGCTGTCAAAAGTTCGGTTGTACGCTTATGAGCATTTCTGTGGGGAAAGGTGTGTTAGACGTCGTGGCTTGTGTCAAAGAAGAGCGGGTGGCAGAAATCAAATAGCGAACATACGTGATCATTTTTCGAACTTCGGCATCGAGCAGCTGACCAGTTTGCTCACTAAACGGTTTCTGGAACTGTTCCGTTTCTCCTCGCTTTCCTCCATAGCTCACAGGTCCAATGACCTCATTCATCCCATAATTGGCACATACTTCGAACGCCAACTTGGTGACCTTTTGCAAGTCATCTTGAGCACCGGTTGTGATCTCGTCGAAGAAGATCTCTTCAGCGACACGCCCGCCGAGGGTCATGCACATCCGATCTAGGAGTTGCGGTGTTGAGAGAAGGTATCGTTCCGCTGGGAGGTACTGTGGGATAGTAAATAAATTATGAACGTTAGCGCACGACTAGAGGACCAGAGGAAGACGGCCTACCTGTGCGTACCCAAGGGCCCCGATACCCCGAGGGATAATGCTCACTTTGAGCAAAGGATCGGCATGTTCAAGGAACCACCCACAAATCGCATGTCCAGCTTCATGATATGCGACCGTCTTCTTCTCTTCTTTACTCAAGACACGACTCTTGCGTTCCAACCCAACCAACACTCGCTCGATTGCCGTATCGAAATCAACTTCTTCAACATGCGATCCACTGCGACGAGCAGCATGTAACGCAGCTTCGTTACATACATTGGCAATGTCAGCTCCGGAAAACCCTGGCGTCAAGACGGAAAGTTTCTGGGCCATGCCTTCAAGCGTGATGCCTGGGGCAAGGAGTAATGGTCGAAGGTGCACTGCGAAGATCTGACGACGCCCAGAAACGTCAGGCCTATCAACAGCGATATGCCGATCAAATCGCCCTGGTCGAAGAAGAGCTGGGTCTAATACGTCTGGCCTGTTTGTACCTGCCAACACTACGATGTGTTCGTTCGTCCCAAACCCATCCATTTCGACAAGCAGTTGGTTAAGTGTGGACTCGCGCTCGTCATTCCCCCCCAAACCTGCCCCTCTTCCCCGCGCCTTGCCTATAGCATCAATTTCGTCGACAAAAATGATGCATGGCGCATGCTTCTTCGCTGACGCAAACAGGTCCCTGACCCTGGAGGGCCCGACACCCACAAACATCTCGACGAACTCGGAACCCGAGACGGATAAGAAAGGTACACCTGCTTCACCCGCAGTCGCCTTGGCCAGCAGGGTCTTACCCGTACCGGGGGGGCCTGAAAGAATGGCTCCACGAGGGATTTTCGCGCCAAGTTTCTCGTACTTGGTAGGTTCCTTCAAGAAGCTGACAAACTCCATGATCTCGACTTTGGCTTCGTCCATCCCAGCGACATCTTTGAACTTGACCTTCACATCCGTCTCCTTATTGAAGAGTTTGGCCCGACTTCTCCCGATACCAAATATCCCACCAGGACCACCTCCCCCTGAGGCTCCAGAAGCACGTCTTGACATGTAGATGAGTAAACCAGCGAGGAGGAGAGTGGGTGCGAAATGAAGGAGAGTATTGACAACGCTCATTTCTTCTTGGTAAGCAACAGGAATTCGTTCAGAACTGGGGATACCAAGTTGGTCCTGAGCCTCATCGAGTTTTCGCTCGAATGCCTCAACGCTTCCGATCGAGAAACCAAAGATCTGGTTGCCTGAAGTACCGGGGTAGACGGCACTAGCATTGGAATTAAGGTAGACCCGCACTCGGTTCCGGTTGACAACGACTAATTTCTCGACAAGGCCTCGGTCAAGAAAAGCAGTTCTAAATTCCTGCCATGTTATTTCCTTGCTTTTCCCTTCCGGTGAGGCAAGCTGATAACTGATGTAAAGTATTGTCATGAGCACTCCGAATTGTTGTATAGACATTTGCAGAGTTGGGGGCCGATTTTCTCCTCCATTACCACCAGATGAGGATTCTTCATTGCGTTTAGATTCAAGTTTGGAGGACAGCCGATCGTCCTTATCCAATTGATTGGGTTTATGTGATGATCTAAAGAATTCTTCCAAGCTTTTGGGCAACCGTTGCAAATCTTGAGAGTCAGGATTGGGTTCCTTCTCCTTGCCTTTGGCATCTGCTGAAGAAGATTCCCCACGGTCAGCGGTGGGCCTCGATTCTTTTTCTTCCTTTTTACTGGAAGGTGAATCGTTTGCCGGAGTTGCATACGCACGCCTCAGAACATGTCCGGAGACAGCCCAGGGCGGCCGCGGCCGAGCAACGCTTCTCGCCGAAAGCAATGAGTGTCTAGCATGTAGCACCCTCCTAACGAGCATGGCCCCTCTGGACGCTGAGACAGGACCAGACGCGGAAGGGATGTTTATAGAGTATTGTATGAGCCGAAGCGGGAGTTTGGCAAGTGATCACGTCACCGATTCACGGATGGACTAGCGGAGTTGACCGAACGGCCAATATGTATTGTTGGGGGAGATGCCGATCGAATAAGTCACCAAACTTGAAGAAGAACAGAGGGGTTGTTCACTCTCTCTTTGCCACTCCCAACTGACATCAAGGGAACAAGGTCGCTCTCGAATCGTTGCTTGGGTGCTTACGCACACTCTCTGCTCAACATAAAGTGTGCTTAAGCGTCTAGTCTTGATAAGCCAGCCACCCATTTGTGTCATCGCTTACTCCACTTTGTGATCGTCAACTTTACCAAGTTCTTCGACTGTACTTCAAATATTGGGACTCCGGACAACACTCTATTATCATTACAAGTCTTCACTCAAGCCCTCTTCTTCATCCATTCGACATGGCACCACTGGGCATTTCTGGCATCATGCCAAACTTCAAGAATCCGGATTATTTCACGCGCTCACATGCTGGATACTTCTGCTGCACTCTCTGCCCTGCCAATCCCGAAGGGGAGACACCCTCTTTCAAAACAACCCGCGATGCTCTCGCTCATGAGGAAAATTCACAACATGTTTTCTTTGTCCAGATGGACGACACTTGGAACATGAAGCCGCACGATTGGCCGTCGGAACCCGTGGATACGTCGTGGATGGATCCTGAGCAGGTCAAGGACGTTGAGCATCGCCAGCGGGTTCAGGAGATCCCCCAATTCGTTGGCGCGTGGCGATCGGGCTGCGCGGAGTTTGTCAGAGACGGCACTATGCTCCCAGTAGAGGCGCCGCCAAATCCTTACAGAGTTAAACGAATGAAAAAGGCGTCAAAGAAATTTGCATGGACGCAGCCCACTCTTGCGGACTCCAAGAATGCAGAGGATGCAGAAGCCTCGTCTTCTAGTTCGGATATAGATCATATGGCCGTTCGTGCCCGCGCCATGGCTAAAGCGAAAGCTATTCGGGAAAAAGAGCGAGCGGCACAAGCGCTTGCTGACCATGCGAAGGACTTATCCCAAGGTGACGTAGGCGCGAATTCGCCGCTGGCGTCATGTTTCGCGCGGCATTCCTATGGTGAGTACGCTGATCGGAGTTGACCAGCAGTAATTCCAACTTGTTTCTACAGTGCCTGCACCGTTGCCAAAGACTTTCTCGCCTGTACCCCTTACATCGGATATGCAAACTTGGATGAGGAAATTTGCCATAGATCAACGTTTCTCACCACTCCAAATGAAACAAATGCGCGAATTCCTCCAGGTGATTCTTCTAATACTTTGGACACGAAGAGTCACATTCACGCCATTTACGTTCATAGCTGCCCATCGAAGCAAAAATCAGTGTAATACAGGAATCTGTATACCAGGTCCATGCACTATTATTCGCATATGGAGAGCAACACAGACCACATCAATTTTGACGACCTCACCCCGGCGTCTTCGTCCAATTTTGACATCGCTGTGATCCTCCACATTTTATAGTCATTTTAGAACGTCTCACAGCCTACTGATCTCGCCTGATGAACACCGCATCGGCTTACTCTCACAAAGTCCTTTTCAGTATCATTTGCTCCATTCTTTCGCCCCCTTGCGGAGTACGGAAAGGGGAATGTTCAGCCGACTCTTTCGATTCCACTCCCACTTTCGCCGAGCTCAATCTGAAAATGGCTCCGTATAATCTATGCCTATCTTCATTTACCAGTTGTGTTCCGCACTCGCGAATACTCACTCATGACTGTCAATTGGATGCCCCATATGCTCTTACGTTGGTTTGTACGGATACTTCATTCCCAGAATATGTCCTTATTCTGCTCCTGCCCATACGTGTGGCAAATCTGTATTTCCGCTCAACTCATCGGCTCTCAACACAATTGAACCTGGTTCACTATTCCTGTTAGTCCACATTTAGTTCAATACCTCAGTCCAAACGGTATGTGTACCGCCTGTCCTTCGCATGTTCATGTAAGCCCTTAGTCATGACTGAATACAATGAACTCGATCTTTGAGTGACTGTGGTTCATGCATGGGGGGTTGCATCCTGAGTAGAATCGAGGTTTGATGTCTGAACTGAACAACCTTCCTACGTACCGTGTGAGCGGCTGCGGGTCACAAAAATTCTAACATTAATACCGTAACAAGCAGCTATGCAGCGTTATCTGTAAGATGATTGCTGATACGCACCTGTCACAGTAAACGTACAAACGTCTCCCTGCGTTATAAGCAGTGTTGTTGAAGTGACAGCCCACACCACTGGTACCGATGCTTGGCTAGCCACCGGCCCAGTATTGCCGACGTGGCAAAGCCGAGGCACACAAATTAGAGCTTTGCATGAGACTAACGCCTTGGCTGACGCTTTGGAAAATTACACTTTATCTATCAATTAGTGCAATTCTGTTGGGAAGTCCGATGGCTGAAGTCAACAAGAACCCCATAAGTGATCTATCATCGGGCTGCACTCTCACATTTTCACTACAAACAAGAATTATCATTGAAAGATCGCAGGCTCGTCTGTTCACCCTTCCATGAAAGGGATGCTGCTGCCTTTTCGGCTTTTTCGATGGGTTCAAAATCGCAGTGGTCAAAGAGGAGTAGCTCGAGCTGGCTGAACATCGGAACTCGCTGGACAAGGGAAAAAGGACTACATCAAATTGAAACCAGTGGTAAATATCCATGATGAGCGCCGAAAAGCTTGCATGCCTCTCTCAAGGAAGGAAACCAAGATGGGCGTTCTACTCGGTTATTAACACGAAATGTCTGGAGAGAGGGGGAAACAGCATGATCCAGGAATTTATCCAACGCGGAGTCGGGAGGTTAACGGTTCGCACATGCATATGGTATGTTCAAAGGCGTCCAGTCTATGGATCGAGCAAACTCCAAAGTGGTGCAATTCTTTTCAACATGGGGGGGATGGAGAGGAACGTGGATGGTGGGAATGATTGCGCTTAGGTGTCGAGACGAACTCTGGCATTATCGATGAGAGAGGGATATACCCTTGGAGCGTCAAGTTACGAAGGGAGGGGAGCTTGGTGGGCGATAATGCTACCCCCGGCGCTTTGGCGATGTTCATGACATACAGGTTGAGTGTGCGAAGTGCGGGAAGGATCTCCGTGCTATTCCGTAGATGCAATGGACGGGGATTTCCTTCAGTTGCTCGATCCCCGACCGTGTCAACGAAAAGCTGGGCATTCCTTCCGGGAATGGGGAAGGATGGTTGTCCTCGGAGAAATGGCGCAACGTCGATTCTTGCTGAGTGTCGCTGGAGTCGAGCTTTACATGGAGTGCACCCATCGACCTCCTGAGATCTTGCCGAATATGTGACCTAGAAAAGGATTGCTTATGCAAGCAGACCGCCAATGTGAGCAGACATGAGAGCGCAACGAACCGCTCCGGCCCAAGGATCCTAAAGATTTGGTCATAGAATTCATTTGGAAGAGTGCAAGCTGACACAGCTCGATTACCGCTTTTACGGATATGGGATGACGGTTCCGAGAGGCCCTCAAGAACAGAAGGATCCGTACCTAGTCGTACGACAAACTTGTGTGCTAACGAGTTGATCACACGAGAGTGTAGCGAAGCGATCGGCTAAAATATTCAGGAAGGTGGAGAATGGGGTGGACGCAGAAGAAATGAGGTGCAGATACACGAGAAAGACCAGACAGCAGACAGGGAGCAGCCAAGAAGCCTCTAGGGCAGCAAAACAGAAAAGCGAAAACCCACTGCCGACAAGCAAGTCAAGCAAGTATCCAGGAACCTACTCGCCATGGGTAACCGAAGGCCACAGCACTTCCAGACCACAATGAGCAGCGCAACATTAAGCAAGGCTAGACCAGAAAGCAATCCGAGAAAGGCTAACCCAAAGAAATGATTCGTTAATGAGGATGCACGGCGGCCAGGACAAAATGCCAGGCTCGAAAAAGCATGCGGCGGCGGTGAAGTATGTAGTAGCGGGCGAAAGCGGCGGACACAGGATAACTCGCGCAGATAAGACAGGATGCAAGAAGTCGACGGCGGGTATGGCAAATGAAGACAGTAATTCGAGCCGATAGGTACGGGGGACACGATGAATAAATGAAAAGGGGTAAGTGCCAGAGACACGGGTCTGACACAACCTCCACCCCAACCTACCTATGTTGTGACGACGAGCAACATCGACGCTTTTCTTGGATAAACACTCGCACTTCTTGGGCGAGGCCATGCACTCTACTAGCTGTCGCACTCGCAACGAATAAGGATTCTCGTCCTCGGTAACATGCATTTACCTCTATTTGTGTCGAGTCGCCGCTCTTCTGGCGAGAGATTCGAGATTATGTAACATCCATGTAACCTTGTTTCCATCGCGTTCTCGGCGATAGATGGTTGCATCGAAAAGCTGTCTGCTCCTCCAGCAAGCCGGAAGCTGTATGAAGCTGGCTGCGAGTTCCGGTAGCTGTGGATCCTACGTCTCACTCATTGTGTACTACTTTCCGCACCATCTGTATCACAGTAATCGTTGCTTCCAACGCGAACACAGTGTCAAGGAACAACTTTGGTCTCATTTCGGCCGAGTCTGGTATTCAAGTGCTCTTCTGAAAACCGCGATGATTGGCTCACTCATCAAGACTATAGCTGGATTGGTAATTGTGTACCCCTTGACCTTCTTGCAAAATCGCTCTCCTCGGGTCGTTACACTAAACAGGCTGTGGCTACAACAGACTGATGTCGTTATCCTTTCTTCCGTGAACCAAATGAGCTGCAACATTGTCCTTCCCGCAGCACCGGTAAATGACAGCGCTGTCTACCCTTGAAAGACACCACTGGTTACATTGTCTTCACGGCGATTCCCATCTGGATCCACACGCCGCCCTGTCCACATCAAGGTGTTTCCTCAATACTGAGTCACTGTGATATCATTGGAGGTACACACCTTGGAATATAGTGTTGACGCATTCTGCGGCCAGATTTTCTCGACGCCCTTTCGTCCCGCCGCGCCTTTCCATGACGCAGGTGGACAGGCTCCAGCAGGTGCATCCTCCTGTCGGAGGGTGAAATCACTGAAAACTTGCAATATGCGCACCATCACTAACACAAGTGGGTCAGTTAACCCAGTGACAAATGATGAAATGGGAGAGATAAAGAGTACTGAAGCTTGCTTCATTATATGCATAGTTCTGGAGCGAGCCGTCAGGAGGATGCTGGTTGGTGCAAGACTGTTGGCACACCTGTCCTAAACAAATCCTCGGCCCGGCGTTGAAAGGTATAAACTTGAACGGATCAGCGACTATCTTCTTCACTCGCTCTTCGTCAATCCACCGCTCAGGGTCAAATTCTTGAGCATCATCCCCCCAAAGGTCTTTGCGTCGTTGTATGACAAGAGGGAGGTACGCCATGTTCGTGTCCCCACCTGGAATATATAAAGGTTTCCCATTAGTCGATGCATCACCTGGGACGAGACATGAAGATTTAGTAGCCCGATTGTTAAGCGGAACAGGAGGGAAGAGCCGTAATGTCTCATTCAAGACCGCGCGCACTGAAATGCGAGGTTCAAACAGAGCTCCAACGGGTAACCACAATTGTCACGTACAGTATTTCATATGACGAATGTCTTCGAAACTTGGTGGGCCGCTAGGGACACGTTTGAGGATTTCGGTGCGGAGTTTGGCGGTAACATCGGGGTGCATGCAGAGCATATAGATGGTGAAGGTGAGAAGCGATGCAGTTGTATCCCGGGCAGCTAGAAGGATGTTGAGGAGCTACAGATTTTCGTGCCTTTAGGGTCTGGCAGATACAATTGCTTTGAGGCTTACCTCGTCGCGAACGAGTTTTATGTTACTCGTCGAGTCCATTAGATGATCGATAAGATTCCCTTCGTTGTCTCCGCACACTTGAGGACCTCTTGCCTTTTTTCTATCGATCGCCGCTTGGAGCATGGGTGCCATCCAACGGTCCATGACCAAATTATGCCCCATTGTTCTGTCCGCAAGGAATTCTCTGGCAGGCCACATACTCCTGTACGCCAACCTCTCCACTATAACAATCTGAGCACTCTCGAAGGCGTGAACAAATCCTCCGTAATCCCCGTCCACCTGTACCCCTTTTGGGCCCATCAGGGATTGACCTGGAATGGGGAGGGGAAGGTCTAATGTGTTCAGATCGTTGGTCCCGAAAAGGAATTCTCCCGCTGCGTCGAGTGTAAACCGCGCGAAGATATCCTGAATGTCTATAGATTGTTTGGTCTCAGCCCGTGCAAGTAAGTGTCGTATTGCTTTTTCGGAATAGTGATCAAATATGTTGAAGTCCCGTATCCGTTCACGAGCTAGAGTACAGAGTTGATCATTCTCTAAGAGATGGGTTCGCGGATCTGCGTACCGAAAAACGGTCGAGTCATTGCTCTATGAACCCTCCCCTCTGGCCAATCAGTTCCGAATATTCCTTCGCCGAACACGCCATGGATCCTGGAATGAGCTGAATCCCCGATCCTGACACCTGTGGGGGAGAACGGACAGACCTTTCGATATTCGAAGGGCCTTTCATGAAGTTGTCAAAATCCGTTGCCAGCATCGCCTGCACTGTGTGATGATTCCTGGTAATGAAGGAATCCTCCCACCATAATCCCAAGTTCAATGTATCGCAACCGTTCTCGTCCAAGAATTCCTGATAGTGTTCAGTGGAATATCCTTCTCTGATGATATCTAGTGAACTGGGAGAGTGTGTAAGTGCATCTGATCGGTTGGGACGACCGGTGGTGACTAACCGGAGGACGACATCCACGTTCCCGGGCCATTTACCCTTCATCCTGGGTGGAAGAACTGCTCCCATTTTTGCGGCTTCCCAAGAGTGTTTAAACCGCGTGTATCGGACCTTGACAGTCCAGTATCCAAGACACGACGCAACATAAAGGATCAATCGCCGCAGAAAGGATGCTCTAAAGTCAGATGGAAGGATAAAGCGAGTCACAAGCACGGAGATGATCGCTGGCGGCCACAGGAGGCTCGCAAGTTTTAGCAAGAACGTACAGCGATAGTTATATGTGACGAAAAACATGTCAGTGCTAATAGGGCGCTGAATGTGGGGACGTCTCAGTCTCTAGCTAGCTGGGCGAAGAGAGCTGAGTGGAAAAGAGAAGGAAAAAAGGAGCGACCATCATATATATGAAACCATAGAGATCTTCTTGCTTGACATCTGGGTATATTGGTTTATTGGTGAGTCATGCGTAGCTATCACAAAAGGTGCTGACTTCCAGAGGGGCCCAATTAAAGTCTGAGGGATTTCAATGTCTCATGGGTGTGTGATGGGTTCCTTGGATCTGAATTTGCATAGCCTGATGTGGGAAGGTATTTACATAGAACGTACCCCCTCCCTTCTCTTCCCGTTAAAGGGGGGGCTGGTCACCTGCCTACCCCTCCCTGAACCTGATACGCTGGCTGAACCCGGAGTACTTCTATCATGTGTCTATATCAGAATGGCACGCTTAGGCGTATTCCCAACGATAAAATGGGCACCGACCCTGCCCTGTTGAGATATTATTCATCAGAAAGAGAAGGCGCGGCCAACAAACAACGCGCGGGGATTCCCGCCCCGTTGCACAGAGAGTTCGGCCAGAATCATCAAATGAACAAGATGGTTCCCTGCCATGTTCATGTCCTGTCCGGAGCCTTGACTCCCCACTTACATATACACCCCGTGTGTTGCCATCGAACGGGACAATCCAGAATCGTGTCGAGGACAAATTATGACGTCAGACTGTAATGAGTCTAATGCTGAATGCCGATGATCCCGAGGGTCAAACCACAGTCACGGGGAAACTAGCTGGTATTGAACGCTAAATCGCGGGTTGGAATGTAGTCCTGAACTTAGGATCGATACTGAGTTTAGACCAGAATGCATGTTTGCTTCTAGTGTTCTTTGGACCCTCGTGGTGTGTATTTGCAAAAAGATCGAGACCCTGTTGGATTAATCATTTGTGAAGCAAATAACTTGGGAATTGATTAATTAGAGCATGGGCACACAAAGGTGAATTGTTATTTTTCCTTTTTTTTTTCAACTGCCCCGCGTGTGGTACTTCTGTGCTCTTTAGGGACTTGGTTGTGTTAGCAACTAACAACTTGTCAATAGTCGTAGTGTTCCCATTAGTATTGTGTTGAACTGTATCATGGGAAGGGAAATAAACTCGAAACCAGGCTGGTGGCGTACCCTGGATTAGCTATTAGACGATTGCCCGACTGCGTATGTCATCAATATAACGCGCAGTATCCTTCTGGAAGTCCATAATCATGTTCCACAGGAGCGACATTCAAGTAAAATTTAGAAGAAGGGGAAATGAAATTGGTCTCGCATATTAAGGCAGATCCTACTCCCGCGTGATCATGTGAACCGACAGCATGTAAGGGTTTGTCGGCTGGTCATTATCCTATAAGGACAAATTCCTTGAACCAGGCTACGAGCTAGCGAGTATTGCCCGCACGTTGATCGTACCCATTCTCAAGTTTTGCAATCAAGCAAGATCAATTATCGTCGGACACCGTTGTCGCAAGAACTGAGCTTCACGGCGATCACCGGTCTCAACAGAGATGTCTCGATTAATGCGTAGGCGATGAGGCCGAGGACGAGTACAATTGTGGGCTCCGTTCACTCGGGAGAATCTCATGCCGAATACAAAGCTTCATCACATCCCTGGAGATATTCCGCTGCCCCATCAGGAGGCAGCATCAGCCGACATTGATGGCAGTGGCAAGATGCGAGCAAGTGCAACCAATGAATGCTGGTCGGAGTTCAGCTCTGTGACTTAGAAGTGTTGTAATGGCCGCATCCCAGCACAACGGAGTTGAATATCCGGGGGCTAGACGCGGCTGGCTTCTTCCTGTGGGACATGCAACTAGGCCCTGCTTCACCGCTGTTTGGAGGCAGCGCGGTTGCTGGTCAACGTACTCAGTCGCAAGCATTGCATTCAAGATATTATATCCAGAAACAGCACGCCGAATGCAGAGACACGCACCATGAGGTTATGTAGATGTGGAGAATAGATACAGTCAGCCTGTCCAGATATGTAAAGAGTGATCGTAAAACGAACAGGTGGCGATATACGAATCGCTACCCGCTGCGTCCTGATAGCTCCAATCGGCACCATATGCCAGCGATTGGTGAGCTTCATATCGCTTGATTATATTGAAGCTGCCAAATTGATCGAGGGCCTGAGAGTCAGGTATTCTGTTGGGACCAAACTGGAGAACTTTAAAGCCGTCATGCATGCAAGCGACGAGGAGATCTTGTGAGCGCTCTGGCTTGTGATGCCATTTAACCCGCCAGGCACCCCCTCCAATGTTGATGGCGGCGAAGGGTTCCTTTGACTGGCGGACATCGAACAGTCGTACGGTATCATCATAGCTATTGGGATGTTAAACGGGAGAAACGATAGAGAGCCTGGAGTGTAGCACCTTCCAACAGCTATCAAATGTTCCACAAAAGGGTGACTTTGAATGGTAGTCACCCCAGCGTCAAACCTTGAACGCCTTAGCAATAGTGATGACCACTTTGAGATGTTTCCTACCGATTGTTTACGAAAATAGGATGCGACGGTTCTTGCCGTATATCCCAAGCTTTGAGCTTACAATCATCGCCGCCTGCAGAACGCAGCAAGTCAGGCGTGACCAACTCACTCGCAGGCAGCGGTCAAACCTGAGTAGACAATATGTTCATCCCAGTAATCCCACGCCGCTATCCAAGACTCGAAGTCGTGAGCGCACCAATTAGACTCGAATATCATGGAAGAACTGTGTGCTCTTAGGACACATAATGTCCGTCAGACTTTGAGACCACGAGAGACCCTGGCCTAGACGGATGCTGGTTGATCGTTATTTGGTTACAAAACATCACATTCATTCACCCAGACACAGGCAGTCTTCGCCTATCCGACCAGTCGATAGAGAGGCACAGAACATCGGCCTTGGCGCAATCAATGCTTTGAACTGTTTCCAAAGAGTGCTGGGATTGAAGTGAGATGGCAACAAGGAGTTGATCTTTGATCTGTCCTCACTTCGTGTTCGAGCCATTTGTGAACTACGACATGACCTTCAGCATCTGCGATCGCCAGTATGGGTCTTTCCAATAACAGACAGCGAGACCTGGGGCAATGGTGCGACCATGAAGGGTGGTGTTGATACCCATGAGGATGGGCTTACCATTTCATATCCAACACCCCAGCTTGCTCATGTCGATATAGCTGAGTTCTGATCAGCAAACCCGGGAGTGAACGTCGTGAAAACCAAAGAATATAGTGTTATCTAACAGCTCTTGTTTCTCTTCGATCCATCTGTAGAGAAGACACTGTCCTAAGCGCTTTTGCGGGAGGGGATCATCGACAGAGTCTCCTCCAGCTTGGAGCTGGTATGTGCCACACGCGAGAAGACTCGAAAATCCTGGAAAGGGGCAAAACTCCACGGAATCTGCTGGATTGTCGACGCCCAACTGGGCAAGCGTAGCCATATTGAAATTCCGTGAGCTGTGGTAGCTCCGGCACTTTCCACTCAGAGCCTTTGGGTATGTATTTCCCTCTTTTGCATGGCTTTTCCCCTTTGCCCGGCCCAACACAAGTGCCCCTCATTATATTATGTTAGACATGCAGTCCAACACCACCTATGCCTGTGGCGGGACAAAGGCATAGTTTCACGATTGTCTGACGAGCTTTGACTACGCTTTACCTTTCAGTATTGTAAGTGGCGTGCCTGACGACACCTCCCAGCCCGCCACATCTATCATGTATATAAGGGTAGCTTCGGTAGGTGGGGTACGGTGTCCAGCGTTGTGATGTCATATTCAGATGTCACCCGGTTGCCCCGCGTTTAATCATATAAAATGAGAGTTGCAAAGAAAGTTTTCGAGTTGTGAAAGAACTGTGAAAAAATCATCTTTATCCGCGTATTCGAACTCTTTTGGTTCGAGGATGCAGTGGTTCATCCTCATCACTTTCACCTTCGTCGAGGGCTCCCCAGTGTCGTCATCCTCGTTCAAACCGTAATCTTCCGATAGGTCCTCGTCCACATCAGAGTTCTCGTTCTCCGTGGCTCTCCCATCCTCCCCGTCACTCCCATCCCCCGTCGCCGTTGGCATTTCTTTGGCCAGTTTCTTGCGGGCGACATTCCTTTCCTGTTCTTCTCGACGTTGCTTCTTGAGGAGCTGGCGCTCGGCCACTGAAGCCGCTAATGCTTCCGCCTCCTCAGCAGTCTTTTGAACTGTGTGACAGCACCAAGAACCCCGTGAGAAAACTACAACCGCAGAAGAAAACCAAGACACGAACCGAAATGATGGTACAAGACTGTCCCATCATTTCCCGGGTATCCTTCTGTAATCTTCATCAACAGCAGTTCCATCCTTGGCCCGATCTCGTAGAGCCTAATCGAATGCTTTCCATCCTTAGTCCTCGTTCTGCTTGTCTTATCGAATTGGACCTCGTCCTCATCCGAATCTGAGCCTTGCGTAGCCGAATGCGCAATGGCATTACCGTCGGCCTTGCGCAACATCCGAAGAACATACTCTGAGAGGTCTCTCTCCTGTCCGAGATTTCGTGCGTCGCTAGTCCGATATAAGATGGAGCGGAATCGTTGTGTTGGATCTGTCTTTCGAATCTTGATCAAGTAATGTCTAAAATCTATGGTCCCAAGATCCGAATTATATGATATGAGCACCACTCGTCGGGCAGAGTCGAGAGAAATGGTTTTAGGAGAAAGCGGGGGGAAAAGCGATTGAAAGGTTGTCACGAGAAGGGGGATATGCGCGGGAGTGTTGGGACCAGGAGGCGGGAAGGAAGAAAGCACCAACTGTATGTGTTAGGATGTTTATGGGTGTCATCCATCATGACCAAGTTGTATGCCAAACTTACCAGGGGAGGGGTGTTAAAATCTTGACCTATGGGCCTGGCTTCTATGTTCGCGTTTAGCAGGTCACGAACAAGTGAATATCTCTCAACCCGAAATGTGACACTGGGCCCGGAAGGACATCGGATAACATGGAGGTGAGGGGCGATAGATGTCAACGTGAATGCAAGAAGGTGCGAAACACCCAGTGGAGGCGCCATGACAAGGAAGTCTTTAAGTTTATTATAGGACCTTTCCTGGGAGGAAAAGCTATCAGTTAACGTTCAGGATAAATGCAACTCACTGGCGTTGTTTAAGCTTTCGCAATGGGGGGTTTACGCACTTTAAGTCTTGTGGCCGTGTTGGGTTGCATGACCGACCGCATGTCATGCACTAGATTTGTTATAGAGGTGCTAACCTGACCATGCTTGACAACGAATGTTCTTGGCACCTGAGGGCTGCTTCCACCAGGCGTATCATTTGAGGCTGCGGGTCGAGCTTTCGTTTTTCGGCGGCGCGCCATGCTACTTTCGTGGTGGCTGTGTTCGAGTTAATTTTTCTCCAACTGGCGTATGCTTGTGAGACTGCAGCTCAGACCTATTATTAGTAGGACACTGGCTACATCAGTCGCAGCAGTGAAGCGGAGTCTAACGCCTGAGATGCCTTCTCATAAACGACCTGCATCTTCCCCCACTCAACACCCCCGTCAGCACAAGAAGCGGTCTACACCCTCCTCTGGGACACTCATGACTGAGGAGCGTGTCCTCTCACTGTACCCCACAGTTGGTGTTGCCTCGAAGCATCTCGACTCGCCTAAGAATGCCGTCTCCACATATTGTGCCAGGAAGAACCTAAATAAGCCAACAATCTCGAGCTCGTCATATGGATCCTACAATGGAAAAATTCATTTCAAGTATTATAGTTATTGGAATTTCTTTGGATTTCTCTTTTATGTCCTTTCAATTTATTAGAACAACTCTGACTCTCGCAGACCCCCCCGCTTCCATCACAGGCGTGGGAGAAGGTACCACCAGAAGCAATGCAGAAAAGACAGCATACTTGTCTATTGTATTGCAGTTGGCCCAGTCCGGTCTTGTGAGGTGTCCGTCTTCCTCCGCTGAACCGAACGCTAACGCAACACCTGCCCTAGCTTGACCAAGTATTGGCCAGCGGGTACGCTCCACAACCAGAGACTGTGTTGCGAGATGGGACGGCACTCGATTTACAACGCGCAAAGGCCTTCGTGGAATTCTACTGTGCGAAATATGATCTTCCACCTCCTGAGCTTGTGCCCAGTGATTTGCGAGGGACGTGGGTAGTGAACTTATCGATTCAGGATCGCAGGCTTGGTGTCGGAAAAGGCCATTCCAAGAAACTTGCGATCTCTAGCTCCTATCTAGACGCTGTCAAGTACCTTGACAACTGTGATCTCAATCTATGGCCTTCATTCCTTCTTGATTCTAAGAAGCAGGACAAGAAGAAAGAGATTACTGCTCAACTTGCTCCGCCCCATTGGATCAATGGCAGCGGCAGGCTCGGAGCGAAGCTGAAGGGGTTAAATCATGGATTATCGCGAACTCAACTTTACTCCAATCGTCCAAAACCAATTCATGATGACTCATTGTCAGCCGACACAGGGTCGCCATCACATTCGAGTTCAGATTCCGAGTCAGCCTCAGCTGTTTCCCTACCAACAGGTGCACGATACCGCGCCCCTAATCAAACCTTCCTCCAGAATAAGTCTCAGCGGATGAAAGACACTTTGGAATCTTACATGTCTGACCCGGTCCATGCTGACATGCGCAAGCAACGACACGCATTGCCGGTGTTTACTCGCTCATCTGAACTTATCGATCTTCTTGAATCTCAAGATGTCACAGTTTGCATGGCGGCAACCGGCTCTGGCAAGACGACCCAAATCCCTCAGATTATTCTTGATTCTTACATCGCGAAAGGCGAAGGGAGCGAATGTAACGTCGTGTGTACCCAGCCTCGTCGTATTGCGGCCATTAGTGTCGCAGAGCGAGTAGCAAAAGAGCGAGGTCAAGTTACTGGGGACCAGATCGGGTACCAAGTTCGTTTTGACTCCAAATTGCCCATGAACCATGGATCAATCACATTCTGCACAACTGGCATATTCCTAAAGCGTATGCAATCCGCGCTGTATGACTCGCCATCTTCGGGAAATGGCAGAAGCATGGATGACGTCACACACCTCATCGTCGACGAGGTGCACGAGCGAGATGTCGACACGGACTTAACTCTCATGGTGCTCAAGCGGCTACTTCAAGATCGAAAAGCACGGGGAAAACCCTTGAAGCTCATCTTGATGAGTGCTACCATCGACCCATCCTTGTTCCAGAGCTACTTTGAAGATGTGAACGAGAAACCAGTGCAGGTTATTGACGTTCCTGGGCGATCCTTTCCTGTTGAGAGACACCATCTAGAAGATGTCCTTGCTCAATTATCGGGAGAACATGTCGGACGCCTATCGCCGTGGTTGTTCGAGGAGCGCAATGTCGTGCATTACCTTGGGAACGAAGTTGGCCCTTCTGCTATTGGCGCACTGCGCAGCCGGGGATCCAATAATATTCGCGCTGTTGAACCGTCGGCCACTCGTGATGCAGGGGAGAATCTGGATGTGCCATCTGGTTTGGTTGCTTTGGTCGTTGCGCACGTTTTGCGGGGATCCGAATCTGGGCACGTTTTGGTGTTCTTGCCAGGCTGGGAGGAGATAACTGCTGTACAGCGCATACTCCTGGATCCACAACGCTTCCCCCTTCTGGGGATGAATTTAAGCGACACAAGAAAGTACAAGATCCATCTACTGCATTCCAGCATTCCTGTAGCTGAGCAGCAAGCCGTATTCGAGCCAGCCCCTCATGGAGTCCGCCGAATCATCCTTGCAACCAACGTTGCCGAAACTTCTGTTACTATTCCCGATGTTGTTTATGTGGTTGATACTGGGAAAGTCAAGGAGAAGCGTTACGACCCTGAGCGGCATATGTCATCTCTGGTTTCTGCTTGGGTAGGGACTTCCAACCTCAATCAGCGCGCTGGACGAGCAGGACGTCACCGTCCCGGCCAGTATTATAGCTTAGTCTCGAAAACGCGCCTAGCGACGCTGGAACCCTATCAAACCGTCGAAATGAAGCGTGTGGACCTCAGCGATGTTGTCATGCACGTTAAGGCGCTTGATTTCCCTGGCATGCAAGTTGAGGAGATATTTGCATCCTTGATTGAGCCCCCATCGCCGGAGCGTGTCCAAGCTGCGCTTGAGACTCTTCGATTAGTAGGAGCACTGGACCAAAATGAGCATCTGACATCATTGGGACGTGTCCTCCTGCAGTTGCCAATTGAAGCCGCTCTGGGTCGCCTTGTTCTTTATGGTTGTTTGTTCAAATGTTTAGGTCCCACACTTACACTTGCCTCTCTCATGGCAAATCGTGATCCGTTCCTTTCTCCGGTCAATCTCAGGACCGAAGCGTTTTCCATGAAGAAGTCATGGTCGCCAAAAGCCTTCCTGTCCGATTCTCTTGCTGCTTTGCAAGCCTATACAGTGTGGTGGGAGAAGCAAAGTCGTGGCAACTTCATCGAAGCAAACCAATTTTGTAGCGAGAACTTTCTGTCCAAACCGACTCTGCTAATGATCGAGAAAGTACGGACATCATTGCTTCAATCTTTGTTGGACGCGGGTGTCGTTGATGCCTCAGCTGGTGGCCGGGCTTCATCCGCTTTTGCGAAGTCTCAGTTCGTGGCTACGTCAAAGTGGAAGCGGAAAATCACGAGCGAGTCAGAAATTCTTCCCGAGTTGAACGTCAATAGCGATTCGCTTCCTATATTAGCTGCTCTCATCGCTCTCGCCAGTCAACCGAACTTCGCTGCTCGGACGAGCGAGCGTGTTTATCGCACTTCGAAAGACAAGGTTTAGCGTCTCCCCTTACTCTACCTATCACTGCCTTACTGTTTTAATTTATTCGTAGGCTACTCTCATACATCCCAGCAGCGTAAACGGAATAAAGAAAGAACGGCAGTCTGCAGCGAAGCGTGAGCCTTACGAAAAACATATCATCACATTCACCGAAAAAGTCCGCAACGTCTCTGTCGCTTCGACCGCCACGAATGCAACAATTTTCCTTCGTGACACTACTAGACTTGACGTCGTCACGTACGTTCTCTTTGGTGCACACCAAGTCCTTTCCGCCGACCCAGGATTAATATGTGATAATTGGCTTCCTGTCCAAGGCAACCAAAATATCCTGGAACCGGTAAAAGAACTCAAAACATATCTTGAGGCGTGTATGCTTCGCGTGTTTGAAGGGATTAGTGCAGCGAATTCGCAACGAAGTCGGGAGCGCCTCATTCAATCGGCGTTTAAGTTTGCTCAAAACGATGATGTTAGCGACAGTGATGATGACGACCAAGATGATGAAGCCACGCCATTGAGCCAGGAGGAAATTGACGAGATCGATTCCCTGACTGATGATGTCGTGGAGATCCTCGAAATGTTCAGCGAAGAACGTATCGCATCTCAATCGCGAATGACATCGAGACCCTCTACACCAGTTTCGCTCAAGGCATCTCCTGGGGCATCGCCCGCCTTAGGCACGCTGCCTCTCTCCGATGCTGAGACCGGATCGTCATTCTCACAAGGAATCCGGAAGACGCTGGCTAACCGTTCTGGAGCACGTACGCCCCATCCATCTCGGCCTCACACTCCGTTACATAAATCATACACCGGCCGTTAACACTCTAAGATGCGCCTCTGTCATCTTCGTTCTTTGCATCATTTGCGTCAGTAGAGCTGCAACACTATCTTACCGTCATACTTATTGTAGTAACTTCCAACCCCTAATATGAGAACCAATTTCCATCTTCCCCTTCGGAACGGAGCGGAGAGCGGACATTGACCTCCCATCTCAGGCTGAGACACGTTGCCAGTTTTGTTAGTTAGGAGGGCAATTTAGCACGACGTTCCATTTCTTCCATTTTCCCCCAATGAGCATTGCAAACCGCCATCAGTTGTTCGGGGGTGTTGTTGGAAGCGGTGATTTGCAAGCCGTATCACCCGTGGCATACACGCCCATCTCATACGCAACTTTACCCACATCCTGGCTTTGTGAAATGTGACTGGAAGGCTCAGCGTGTATTTAGCTCCTTCGATGGTACGCTGAGATGCATTCCAAACACAGATGCTTGCAACAATTGAAAGAATAAGTCCAACGCTGCCAACGCAGACCACAAATAAAGTGAATTTTTGGGATAAATCGACTGAGCTGCGATCAATTCAAACATCGGGACTCGCCGAAGCCTCATTCCAGGACATCATCTTCAAAAACATCGTCACGCTCATCGTTCGTGGGCAAGTTGTTCGCGGCCCCTGTATCTAATCGGCTGTTCCCATCCCAGATGGAATACGGAGACGTCCAAGTCGTTGATCCAGGCGCTTATTGTGTGACTCCCTGCGACGAAGTGGATATTTCTTTCAAGTCGGCCCCATTTGAAGGAGTTAACGACCCACCACCTTCGTTTGGGTTCAGCTCTGAGCCCCTGTACGAAGCACACGAAGATTTCTCAGAATCTACGCCGTCTGAGGCGACGCTGGATACTGCTACCAATACAGTGGAGGACTCTGTGTGCGGTGCAGCGGAATCCTTGGCTGGAGACCCTATCTATATAGGCGTGGTTGAAGATCGAGATCAGCCCTCGAATAGCCGGGCCGATGATGATGATGATGATCTCGAGCTGACTGATGACGAATTGGATGCCCCAGAGGAGAAGGATTCCGCCGAACCGGAGGAGGAAGGCCCACCAGCACCATTGCCTCTCCCTCAAGAGCATATTTATATTCAAGACCCTCGCCAACCCCTCTTACTTCGCGATTTCCATGTACTTAAAACCCTTGGTAAGCGCGTGTCCTCATCTACTACCCCAATACTTGTGTCTCTAACTCACTCTGAAATTTCACGTAGGAACTGGCACGTTTGGCAAGGTCCTACTTGTCTGCCTTCATGCTGACTCCCCCCATCACCGCCCTGACACCGTACAACACTTCGCGATGAAAATCTTACGCAAAGCAGACGTTGTAAGGCTTAGACAAGTCAAGCATGTGGTGGCCGAGCGCAACATTCTTGCACGTATCCAACATCCATTTATCGTCGATCTGTATGCCACCTTCCAAGACCACTTGAACGTTTATATGCTTCTGAGCTATGTTCCGGGTGGGGAGCTATTTTCGCATCTGCGTAGAGCAGGCCGCTTCACGCCTGATGTCACTCGATTTTATTTGGGCTGCATTGTTCTCGCTCTTCGCTATTTGCACCGCTATAATATTATATACCGTGATTTGAAGGTATGTACAATCGCCTGTTGGATAATGCGAGGCTGAGAGCATTCAACCCTAACAGCCAGAAAATTTATTACTTGACCATCGGGGTTATGTCAGTTTTGTTGTATTTTTCCAGCTTGGAAAAAAGATGTGCTAACTTGCTTTACAGCTCCGGATTACCGACTTTGGATTTGCGAAAGTAGTAGACGATCGTACTTGGACTCTCTGCGGCACACCGGAATACCTTGCACCTGAGATCATTGAACAAAGAGGTCATTCCAAAGCCGTGGACTGGTGGGCATGTGGCATTCTTACATATGAAATGCTCGTTGGTTATCCGCCCTTTTTCGATGAACATCCGTTCGGAATTTATCAGAAGATAGTGAGAGGAAGGGTATACTGGCCCAATGAGCTCGATCTAGGGAGCAAGGAGTTTATAAAAGCGTTTCTGAACCATGATCGGAGTCAAAGGCTAGGAAACTTAAAAGGGGGTGCCGAAGATGTGCTGAACCACCCGTGGTTCGAGGGTGTAGATTGGGTCGCGTTGGAAAATGGATACATTGAGGTGATGCATTCCACAAATCTTGTAAGCGTTGCCGCCGTCTTTGCTCACTTTTGTGTTTCACACAGGCCCCATTGGTCCCGCAAGTCATGTCAGCAGATGATACCCGCAACTTCGTCCGACTTCCATACCCGAAACCAATGGAACTCCCCGGCTTGTTCCCTGAATCGGCACTACCACCAGAATTGCAATCTGATCCACATGAGTGGCAATTCTTGGACTTCTAGGCCACGTATCCTCGTTTGATCTAAGTTATTCCGAACCTCACCCCCTATTCGGTTAATTATCCTCCCCTGTTCTGCTGTGCAAGATTCCTCATACACTTTCTTTGAACGTATTAATGCTGTTATTTTCGGGCCACATTCCTGCGCCCTCGCTACCAGAGCCCATGATCCTATAGTACTTCTGTCATTCATTGTGTCTGTCTCGATCACCCTCCGTTTGTGGTCGGGCTGCTTCTAGCACTCCATTTTCGTTCTTCCCGCACTCATCTGTACGCATTATTATTGGACGGAACGCAGCTAGTAGACTATCTTCAGGCATTTCCAAGCGCACCGCAGGACATCCAATAAACAGTGGAGGAAGCGTACCAGGCTACTTTTGTTATGAGGATTTTCAAACTGGACGGTCGGGCTTGCGCATTGAAAGAGGCCTTCCCCCACTGTTTCACATTATCTTCACTGCTCAGACTTCACAAGACTATGATACCGTCCAGAAGAATACTTGCGCGAGATACAGCAGGACGGAAGGATCCAGTTACTAGAAGAATCGATCTCCGATCGCGGAGTCGACTCCTGTGATGTCCAAGTTCACAATATTCATGGGAGGCTGCATTGTGTCAGCCGGGTGGGTAACCAGTGATTAGATAGCGTGGGTGACCAATCAGATTGGCTCGTACAAGTCGTTAATTTGAGAACGCTCGTGGTTGACGACATTGACGCTCTTAGTTTGGGAAGAAAAGAGAGAAGTGGCAGAAAGGGAAACTAAAAAACGAAAACTACAGCACTCAGGATTCCCATGTAGTCCCCTACCATAGTACTAACTGAGCGGCACTCGGATCAGACGGGATGCGACTCCTATGGCCGCAGATGGCGTAACATGTTGGCCATTTCCCACGAGGCAACAATTTCTCACGGGGATTGAAAAGAAATTTGACGCCCCTTGCAAACAGAAGCCTGGCAAGCTCAGCCACCAAATGCTTTCGTGTCGCGATTTTTTTGTAGCAAGGGGATCATGTAACTATGCGACGTTTCAACTCGATGATATTGTCAAACTGCTAACTCTGTAGACCAAGGTAAACGGTCAATGTTCTGGGGCAAGCTTTCGAGTGACACAGGAATAACAGTCTGATTTCCACGCGCATGACATGAAGATAGTAACAGGAATATCCAGTTCCAGAGAATGTTTGAAAAGTGTGCTGGTCAGCGTGACAGAATGTGAATAGCACCTCCTTGGTTATGACAGCGGATCAAACCCACTCCAATCAGGACTTGACTTTGCTTGTTGTGTATTTGTGACCCGAGTTGGTACTAATGGTGTCATGGACGTCGTAGGAGATGATGTTGGTTTTGAAGCAGGTAGGGGGGCAGGCGAAGACATGTAGTTGGGTTGCATGGGCTGTATAGGTTGTAGGGGCGACGCAAAGAACGAGCTTTGTGGTAAATTTGGGGGCTGCGAGAAAGAGGTTATCGATTGAGCCGGTTCCAGCGCGATATTATAGTTTGGTTTCGATGAGACAGTACTGGGTTGCATCGGATTAGACAAAGGAGGCCGGGGTGCCAGGGGTGGCGGAAGAGCGGCGTGAGCAAGTGGCGGCTGTTGAGCCGACAGGGACGATGTTGATGTAGTCGAGGGAGGGGTAGGAAAAGGAAATGAAGTTAATGTTGACGTATTTGAGAGTGGTGACGAGGTCAAGGATGATGCGCCAAAAGATCTTGCTCCTAACTTCCTAGCCCCTGCTCCCGCTACTACTGACCCAAATCGAGGACTGGATGGAACAGATCGGGACTGCGAGGGGGGTGTGGCGGCAGATACTGCAGGCAGAGAACCCGCAGGCTGGGCTAGCGGCAAGGGGCTCGATCCCAATTGTGATGGCGGCTTCACAACGGTGTCAAATTTACTTGGTCAACATGAGATCCGAGAATCACTCACGTCTGAATTCAACATACTCCCCCAAACATCATCTTCCCAGCTATCCCCATTCTCCCCCTTAGGCGGAAGTGACTGGGAAGTCCTGGAAGCACCCGTCTTTGCTCCACTGCTGATAAGAGTTTCGAAATCGACAGGGCCGGAGGCCGCAATCGAGGACGTCACTCCGTTGACGGGGACCGCACTACGATCCTCGATTCGCTGAGAATCGCGTAAATGCTGCAAATGTTCATGTTCCACTCTCTCGCTCAAATTGCGAATTACACTGGAAATTGTCAAGTGTCAGAATTAGGAAGGGATTCCGCGTGGAGCATACCTCATGAAACGACCAAATTGTTCAACATTGAGCACTAACGGACGAAATTTGTTAGCATGTCGTTCCATTGACATGATTTCCAACCAAAAAGTGAATACACACGAGGCCCAACTGACATCTGCCATAACTGTGGCAACAATTGCAATGCAACTGCTTCCCGATCAATCTTCTTCCCCATTTCCTCATGAACGGCAAGTGTGGCGAGCTAGTGCATAACCAATCAACTTGACAGATACGATGGGAAAATATTGGTATTTGAACTTACCATCACAGCCGGTTCTTGGAGATATGAATATCACTCAGCCATACGATCAAGAAAAGAAAACGTTAGGAGACCACACCTTTTGTCCGTATCTTGGCCAACAGTGGCACTAGCTTCTGCGTCAGACTTGCCTGGCAAGAAAACATAAAAATCGTGAACGTTTAGGTCATTGAATACTGCACACCTGGTCCAACGTTTTCACAAGGGCTAAGAAACTCTGTAACGAGCTCACTTTAACGCTTAATATCTTCGTTTTTGTGAAGACATACTATGATGGAAAATCGTTACTCAGAATCGACATCCCACTGTGGATTATGCAGGGAAACTCACGGCCACTCTAGTGAACAACACGCTCTGGACTTCCGCGAAGTCAATCGTCTCGCACAGATCAGGGACGCACTGCAGCGCGCGCTCCTGCACCTGCGGATGTTCAGATTCCAGAGCGTAGTATACCAATGGGAGAACATCTACAAGACAAATCAACTTTTCATTAAACGAAGTAAGGCTCATGATCTCAACCTGCTCGAAAGACGTTTTTGGCAGTCTTCCTCTGTAATTCCGAAAGGTTCTCCAAAAGAACTATCATGTTTTGAGGTGGGTCTTTAACTGTGAACAGGGGCTTCAAGGATGGCAAAACAATCTCCTGGAATTGGTTTGCGTCTAGTGCGGTGGAGATGTTAAAGACATTAGGGAGGATGGAAGGAAGAAGAAGAGGGTCTTTCATCTTTTGTGTGCGTGAACACTCAGATACTTTAAAATGATTTCGGGCCTTAAGGGACGCACCTCAGCAAGGATACTAGGAAGAATCTTCCGTTTTCGCATCCCCTCACTGAATCGGGGCAAGACCGTCTGCAAACCCTTCATAAAAGCGATTTTTTCTTCCCTCGGCTTTGGAGCGAATGTTGCTGGGTCCAAGAAATTCAGCGTCGAGACTGCCACACCTGAGAACCAAGCATGCAAAGCAATCGTCTCGGTAGATAAACGGGCCATAGGTGATGGAGTGACAAGCGATGAGATTAGGTCTATATCCCAGGAATAGAAATGAGCTAGTAGTCAAAGAACATAATCGACACATACTGCGGAGATCAACATCCCACGATTCCATGCCCGGGAGTCCCCCACCTCCCTCAAGGCGCCCTTGATTGCTACGCATGGAGCTTAGACTGTTGTGATTCCGAAAGGGTGGGACGCCCTGGGACGAGGACTCAGCAGTAGTTCAATCTTCTTCCAAGCTGAGTCGCAGTACCTTTGCATGAACAGCATATATTACACACCCAAGGGAATACATGTCGCTCGATGTGACTATTTGCTCTTGTAGTGCATATTCGGGAGCTACAAACATGTTGAATGGGCTTGTTAATAAGGATGACATGACAAACGAACCCATGTAGTCAAAGGATCGTTGGGAGGAAGGGGGGATGCGGACGTCATACGATAGAAATTCCCATTTTGTGGGACTACCGTCTAGCCCAAGGAGGGGTATTATGAGACCGAGACCCGATATCTTCCAGTCGCCCTAAAGGTTTGTATGAGGGAAAGTAGCCAAAGGTGTCTCTCGCACGACGTACGGCTGCATTGATCATCACTGATTCGGGGCTTAAGTTGAGTGCACGAGACGTGCAGAAGTATGTAGAAAGGCCAGTCCCTTGGTCAGTTGTAACACACCCTTTTGTATCTAGAAATTAGGTGGAAAATACGTGAGAGCGGGTAACAGTGGAAGGAGCATATTGAGTACCTCTATCTCGTCTAATGGTTCGGAATCGCGCGAAGCAATGGCAGAACCAGGTATTGACATCGCTAATGAGCCGATGATCGGCTCAGTAGCAAAAACCATTTCCGATCTGGGATAAGTTAATCAAGACTTGTCACAACGCGAGGCAATTAGAGCCCACCTTGTCTCTTCGAGTGGTTCAACCACCTCTGGTACCATTACATCATGAGCGCAGCTTGAAGTGTCAGGACATCATACTTGGCATACCTAACACACAGGGATGACGCATCCTCGTTAAAGCAGTAGCCTATTATACGCAGGAGCACATGAGCCCATGATCAAAGACATGATATGACTTCCGCACCCACCTCCGCCTTCAATACCTCTAGAACACGGTCCCTTGCATTAGCAGTTAGCCGATCAAGAGAGCTGTTCTTCTTATCGAATGACCACACGCTGACGCGCTTCCCGTTCGTCTTGTGTACTGCCTCCTGAACGCGCCATAATCCTGAGGTAAATGGCGGGGAGTTGCTCTGTGGTGGCGCAGGCGAGCCGGTACGTGTCACAGAGGTTGAAGAAAATGATGGAATTGCTGGTGTATTGTTTGAGGCATAGATGTAGTTCTGCGATATCGCAGATACTTTGAAGAAAGATGATGCTGCTTGCGTAGCCGCTGCAAGCATTAATATTTACTACTGCCAGGTGTTTTTGATCTGTTGAAGGACAATTGAGATGAAATTGAAATTCGCGGTTCCGTGCACGTGTCCAAACCCCTGCGGCAGTTATTGGTGAGTGCATAACGAGCAATGCTAGGGAAGGCCATTTTCAGATATTTTGAGTCCACAGGCCCATAAACAGGTACGGAACAAACAAGCCGCGGAGTCATTGCATAAGGATGGCTGCTATCAATGCATTTGTGGTATAGGTGTGGCTTTCGAATTTCTGAGCTTGCGGCCTCATGACGTGTGGTAATAGTTGGCTTCAACAAGTCAAGCTGCCTTGAACTATTGAATCTTGCATAAAGTACCAAGTGATAGAATATTAGGGCCATTTCTCCGATACTTTGAGGGCCTAGCGGGACTGTGAAGGGAACCGGCTGAACGTTCGATTATACAAGACGTAACCCAATTGCTCGGCTCGGAATGGGAGAATCCCTCAGCGAACATGTTTTATGTCCCATAGTATCCACCCGTACAATGCACAAATGTACAGGCATGGTTTGAATATTTGCCAGTGACGTCGGTATATATCCCTACAGATGAATCTGGTGCGAAGACCCTGTTGTTGATGATAGGGACTTTTCCCATCTATGTGCCAATACTTACGCTGGATGGGGGGGGGCAGATGTTTCAGGTGCCTGGTAGGAGTATCTACATCTGTGCCAAATGAACTCAGTAACATACGAGTGACGGGTCTAAGAGGTGATGCCCCTCTTGAACGATGTCAAGTGTCCACTTATTACCTTTGTTGTTTGCTTCGAAGATCAGCACACGAAGTCGGAGTATCAATTGCTAAGCCTTTATCAATAGGGATTCCTTGTCAATTCTACCTTGATCCGGACTCGGGTTTAATATTTACGCATGGGGGACCATTCTTGCATGCGGATAGTCTCTTCTCGCGATGGAGTCTTCTCCGTTCAAGAATACTTGCAGCGCAGCTGCCGATGCGAGAGTGGTCGAGAGAACAGATATGTAGCTGCATGTGGCGAACTGGCATCCATGAAACTTCCCAGTGAACCTGGACAACTCCAGACTTCAATCCTAGTGTCGAGGCAACTTCCCGCAGATGGCCTCACTACCCGAAAGTAGGAATTGAAGTTAATCACCGGAGACGCCAGGAACAATTCCGCGTTTTTCGCTTAATTTGAAGTCATACGACCACCAAACGCGAGGTCCTGATCAATTCCGACAACGAGTCGATTTTGTGCTGAATGAATAAACTGGCGCAGACGTGTCATGTACGTCCTGGGGCGCTCCGATGATGCCATAACTTCGATCCTGTTAGAAACAATCGGTTGCTCCGAATGCCGCCAGTTCCTCGAGGAGCAGAGGAGAGCAAGCATTCTTGGCGACACCCCTTGGCACAAAATTTACTAGTGCTCTGGGGCGGAGAGATGACCCAAGACCTCGCCACACCTGATGGCTGAAACCCAAGACGCCATGGCGAAAGACTTGACCGAACGACAGACTTTGGAAGGGGTTTACTGGATCATGACGACCGTCTGATAGAACGCCTCCAGGCTTAATCATGAACCAAGCTGCGTGGAGAATAACATGTTCTCCCACTTGTGGTACACATAATTAGTAGCACAAATTTGGGGCATATACTGCCGCAAAGACTAGGACTAACAGCAAAACAAGGACGAGCCATCGAACATCTCTGGCGATGCCGCTACTGAGGCACTCGGTGTTGGTCGAAAATCGCTTAATTGAACGGCAGACAACGGATGGGACAATATTGTGTAGGTGCATCGTGTGTACATGGCCGTGTCAGAAGGGGTGCGATGTCATGTAAAACCGTCCGTTGGCGATCGATCATCCTCGAGTCGTGTCAGAGCGGAGCGTCAGGTTCTGGAACGGCGGTGTTCCTTATCACTTGCAATTTCCGGATTCTCCTCCCCGTGTTTGGGTAGTCTCGATTACATTCATTCCTGCGATATTATGCTTGCGTTTGACGCATCCGTTCTCTTCTCTCGACCCACTGCGACACCTATTGCAGCGAACATCACTGATTCCTGGCTCCACTATGACTTTGACTGTGGTCTATCCTAATAGAGGCTGGTACGACTATGGCTGGCAGCCCTGGCTCAGGAACGTCATGCGAATAAGCCTTTATTCCATAGTAGGCGGTGGCAATCGTCTCACCTGTTGTGCACATGTGTCACAAGCGGTTCCTGATCTGGTACTTGGCCTGAATTACTCGATGCGGTGATCAAAGCTTCTGTGCTTGAACGCCAAGTCAGTACACAGCATATTTCCTGTCTTGGGGATTCGGGGATCCCATACCAATATCGCAAGAGCGTTGTTTGGTTGTAGTCATCGCTGCGTGGTGAGGCGTGCTTCGGGGGGGAACACACTTTGAAACTGAAGATTCCGAGAGCTTACTACAACGAGGAGCGCAACAAGGAGATTAATGAGCAACTCATCGCCTCAGTGATCCGATTGAGCTGGATGTAAATTGCGTCGTTATGATGGGCTTCTCTCTCTCGCCATATGAGGGTTGTCAGGGGCGAAGACCGTTTCCGGCCATGCTATCAAGTCAGTCGCACAACGTATGGCTGCACAGCCGGGGGCATACGTGAAGCCACAGCAAGTGTCTTGCCATCCGGAGGTAAAAGGAGGCCGTTGGCGAAGTTGATCCAGAATGCAACGGTGGTATATTTGATTTTGATATTCGGCAGTAATAAAGGCCACTCATGAGGTTGGTAACCGATAAGCAGCTTCCCGCATGGGACGCTTCTGGACGTGCCTGCTCACGCGGACTGTCCGCATATGGTACATGGAACTTCGTGGAGGCACACAAGGACGGGTGCCTGGATATGCAGCTCCAGATGGAGCAAAACCTTTGGGTGTTGGGGTTTTCGGTGGAAGGTCCGGGATTGGACGCAGGCAAAATCTCGACCCCGAGAGGATGGATGGCTCGGTATACAAATGCCTGATTTCGGCTCGTCACTACTGTACAGTGTCGAAAATTCTCTGTCACTCATATACGAAAATTGCTTTGGAGCTGTCTAGCTGTATTGACCCCGTCCTCGCATTCCATCGGTTTCCTGGGGTCTGGTTCATTGGTAACGCGGCACTCGGTGCCCGCGTTGCCCGCGAAATAAGTCGCTGGGTCTGGGAGTCGTCTTCATCAAGTCGCTGTGCTAATCATGAGCAGGCCTCCCTGTCTGGCAGCCCCATATCTAATTATAGTCAACAAACTTAAGGCATCATCAGTGCAGAAATGGGGGCAGCTAAGAAAGATCGGGTGATGAGCATAACATATATAGGGGCTCTGACCAAAGGGGGAGGCATGCAAGTCATAAGCCGCGACACACCTGCCTACGCGACACAGTGACTTCGACGAATGAGCATGGTTAGCCAGCAAATATGTAATTCCGTTTACAGCTTCATTAAAGCACAAAACTTCGAACGACGTCGGGAGGACAACAGATTTAGGCGCTGAGGCATTGAACGTTGTGTTGCCACATTCCGAATTATGTAGTCTGGCCCATTGAGTCAGAGTGAATCAGCCTCAATGGGGCCGCTCGGCTCCGATAAATTTTAAACATTAGTCTTGGCGTTACTGGCCGGTGGAGCAAAATGTAAGGCGTGAAGTTGCAGGTGAGGACAGGATACTAGCCTCTATATTAAACAAGAAAGCTGAGCCAAAAGCTTAACACTAGTCCTGCCTACCAACAGGGGCTGTGTCAGGCCATCTCAAGGATTTGAAATACATAATAAATCCCAGCCCCTGGGACCGTTATAAGATGCTACCTACAATCAATCTCCGTTCCTTCTTCCACCTAAAGTGGCACAATGATCGCCCCACTGGTTCTGTTCCTTCTGGCGAGGTTAAGCTGGACGGTTCATGGACAGTCGGTACGTTAACGAAGTTAAACTTCTGTGGTTTCATTAATTTCCGCATCACACGCTTTCTACGCCCAGACATCTGCGCGTTGTAATGTATCAAACTTTCAATGGGTTTGACAGGTTGCTTGGAGGGCTATAGGAGACGAGCTAATGTAGCATTCTTAGTCCTTCAACACTCTTTCCCAGAGTCCCTGCCTGGTAGGTACCAGACGTCGGTGACAATGGTGCCGCTCTTGATCGTCTTACTAGGTTGCAGCATATCTTCAGAACACTTGTTCTTCGGGTGAGTTCTAATCTAGGCCTGCGTACTGCTTTCTTCATATGGCAGTTCATCTAGGTTTTAATGTCCCTTCCCTTGATTCCCTGGGCGTTCAATCATACCGTGAGCCTTCGGTTATCAGTAGATGTGAGTGCGCCCTCTAATACCTAGTGGTCAAGGTTAATATCCAGTACAATATTAATTTTTCAAGGTGGATGCTCGAGCGTCGTTTACTCCCTCATGGCTGCGTGTGCCGGTTGTCAAAATGGATCATGGTACAGGTGTGTTCCTATGAAGGACTTATATCGCACCTGAAATCCTAAGGCTGCTTCTATGTACAGTTTGTTTGTCTGGCAGGGTGGTTGTGGTGGAGACACCGACCCAGTTGGAACGTTCGTACTTCAGATTGACTTTTCTCGCACCTCACTGAGCACATCGCCTGCTCAACATCAGGTATAGCGAGCCGATTCCTGGTGGCACCAGAGTCCCTGGGTGGGCCTATCTAGATCCCGGTGATGGCATTTTCAACCCTAGGGTTGCGATGGGTAATGGTTTGTATCTGTTTTTACGACATTCCCGTCTCAATGCGTTCATGGCAGATTACTTCTTACAGAGTCCCCGGAAAGCACTCCTAGCATCCCTTCATCCACATCAAGCTCCTCTTCGTCGACCACATCAAGTGTCCCCACCACCACTCCTATTCCCACCCCTTCTACCACCATTCCTGCATCCATATCCACGTCTACATTCACAGGCTCGTCTGCTCCCACTTCAACTCAGGTACATGCTTCAATTCAAAGCGAATACGCACCCACTAACTTCTCGGTATCTCAGATAACGGTAACATCGTCTCCAGCTTCGCAAGCATCTTCAGCTTCTCAGTCATCAGCCATAAGCTCACCAGTGACAATTTCCTCAGGATTGCTAACAAAAGCCTCTGGTTCAATTGTGGCGAGCAGTTTATCATCACTCCCGGGCTTCGTGATTTCCTCGATATCCACTGCGAGTGCTGCATCAACGAGTATTTACAGATCTAGCAGTTTTACTTCGTATACCACAACTGGTCCTGGGGGTGTTCCCACGATCGTTGTCACTCCAGCCGGCAAATCTGGTGGAGGTGGAACTAATGTGGGCGCGATCGCTGGTGGGATCGCCGGCGGTCTGGTGGGCATTGCGGCTCTCGGATTTTTGACGTACAAATACCTCCATCGAGGACCTGACATTCATGACTCGATTCCTGAGCCTGAAATGATTAATTATTCGCATGGCGGTGGTGGAAGTAGCCCCCTTCCGGTAGGACCGATGTTCCCTTCACTTGGGGTCAACGTATCCCCTTTCGGACCCGGAAGTTCTCCCTACGCTCCTGGGGTGGGGCCTTCTGGTGTCGGTGGTGGGGGCTCGGGTTACGTGCCGGATGGTGCTGCTGCGACATTAAGCCCTCAAGCACCTTTTGGCACCTCTGGTGTACCAGCGCCATTTGGTTCAGATAGTGGTGCGGCAGGCTATGCGTCTGGAGGGGATGCTGGGCATGGAGCCGGGGGAAGTTCCGGGTACGGAACTGGGGGAGCAAGTGCTGGATATGGATCCGGAGGAGTTGGTGCTGGGTCTGGATCCGGAGGAGTGAGTGCGGGATATGGATCTGGTGTGAGCGCTGGAATGGGGGGTGCACCGACAGGCACTGTGCCACCTTATGGGTTTGGAACACCTTCAGCACCATATGCCGGTAATGCGGGTGCCGCCGCTGCTTCGGGAGCTGGGGCTTCTCAGTTGCCTTGGGGAGCTGTTGTTGGTGCTCCCTTGGGTGCTGGTGTCACCTTGGGCGTGGCAACTGGCGTAGCAGGCCGGCAGCGTCGAGCGCACAATTATAATGACAGCCAGGGGGCATTTGTGCCACCACCTGAGTCCCCAGGACTTACAACTCGTGCTCAATCTGTAGAGTACTTTACCAGTCAGACTCGTTATTCTAGGTCTCCTGATTACAACAATCCTTTCGAGTGAGTTTCGTGGTTTGTTATTCCTGGGTCTTTTTTGAAATTTCCCTCCAATTTCTGACAGCTCGCCAGGCCGACGCGATTGACCCATGATACCCTTCCTTTATTGTATCACGTAACAATTTTCCTGTCTTTCGCTTTTCACGATCTCTTTCATTGTGAGAACATTTGCAAATCTATGCTCTCGTTCCGGAAGCAAAATTGACGGATCGGCTGCGGCCGTGATAAATTTGAATCATTCACTTCGTCCCAACTTACAACCAACTTTGAAGCTTCTTATAATTCCATCAAGCCCATGTCTTCAAGATCGTGCTATAACTGCGGAGGAAGTGAGATTGATTCTGTTTTTTTTTTTGGACAAACTTTGGTCTTCGGACTCAAGCCTGCGCCTGCGCTGGATTGCCTTGAGGGTCGTTTCAGGCGGTGGGACACTAAGCCTTTTACCTCTGTTATTATTACGATGCGCATGGCTCAAAAATAGAGGCAATACTCACGTATTCTTATCATGGGACTTGGGAATCCTGTTGAACATTGTGCATTCGACTTTTTTTTTTAATCGGCCACATCTACGCCCTTTCTATCTGACATTCGAACGCAATCTCTTGGCTAAATCCTGCACGGGATATACTATTTCGATCATCAGTTGGCCATCGGGCCGCCGATTGCCCCAAAGCCGGAACCCCCACCTGGTGAGGCTCTAGCTGTTGAGGATTTTTTAAACCTGATCCAACTTCGGCGCACGGACATAGCTATAACTGTTAGTGGTCTGATTCCCCTGCATTCAAGTTTAAGTTAGAGCCCTGAGTTTCCCATCACTGGACCAATTTACAGGCGGGCAAGAAGGGCACGTCTCGAAGGACTGCACTTCCGAAAGAAAGCCAAAGACCTGCCACCAGTGCAATCAAGAGGGACATATTGCTCGTGACTGCCCGAGCGCTGCTGGTGGGGCTAGTGGTGGTGGGCCTGAATGCTACAAGTTCGTAAAGTCGACATTTTCGAGAGCTTAAAAACCTTACCAGTTCACCTAGATGCGGCCAAGTGGGCCATATTGCACGGTATTGTCTGACTACATGCTTTTTGAGTGGACGGTTATTGAGGACAAGAGTATCAGGTCTTGCCCTCAAGCCACGCAGGGCGATTCGCGACGAAACGCTGGCTATAATCGCAGCACTGTCTGCTACTCTTGTGGAGGGAGTGGCCATATGAGCAAGGATTGCACGAGTGCTTCTGATGCTAGGCAACCGAAGTGCTACAACTGCTCCGAACTTGTAAGTGCATCCTACGTTCTGTGGACAGGGGTGACGTCTCATGTCGTTGTTTAGGGTCACATTTCGAGGGATTGCCCGAAACCAGCGAAGAAAGCATGCGTAAGTTAACGTGTGCTGAATCAACGTGCTATTCTCTAAATTTGATTATTATTACCTAGTACAACTGTGGTCAGGAGGGCCACATATCTCGAGAGTGTCCGGGAGGGGCTGCTGAAGACTGATGTGCTGGATGATCGCGTTGTTGGAAGATGTATATCCGTTCTCATCCACCTTTCAACATTCTCCTTGCCAATACTGCACAAGGCCTCTGTGAGGCTCTTCTAGCTTGCTTGTGACTGATATACTTGGTATAATCATTTGTCTTGCAATTATCATCGTTGCTCAATAAGACACCGCCACAGTTCGAAGAAGTAATTGAAGAGATTACTTTTGAGGTGGCAGTGCTCACCCGAAAGGTTCCGCTTCAGTACCTTGCCCAAAAACTCCAATAATAGCCGTGACCCAGTAGTCTTCTCTGTGTTTAAAGGGACAGGCTTCGTCGCAAAACTGGACGTTTGGCACATCCAGGCACATGTCACTACGACGAAACATAGACAGCAATACTCTTCCGACAGCTAATCCAGTGACACTCGACGTTCCTCTGTCCCGAGACTCATCTTACGAAGAAATTCCATACGGCGGGGGCACATACGGCTCCTTTCCTTTTCGAAACCACTTCCCTCATACAACTCAACACACTGTGGGGAGCGACGACGAGCGGCTACCATTACACAACATGGAGGCTGAACCACGTCGAAGAAACGTCGCTTTTGACCATTCGAATCTACCACATGAGGGATGGGTACATGGGGATTCGGTGCCAGTATACCAACCATATTCCAACGATGTAGATGGCGGGAGAGCTGTGTATGAAAAAGCGCGGATAGGATATGCAACAGGGCGATTACCTCCTCGCCAACCAAAGGAAAAGCCGCACTTGGTACGTCCCAGTGTCTCCGCCCCTGGTTTTCTCCCCCTAATCTTTGCACAGATACATCTATGGGCCCCCTTTTATTATACTTTGCTGGGCCTCTTCACTCGGATACACGACATTGGTTTAGCGCCCTATGTTATTTGGGACGAAGTGCGTTGGCCCATGCCCTCTTGCTCAAAGTTTGAGTCGAACATCTTTTTTTCAGGCTCACTTTGGAAAATTTGCTTCACATTACCTCAAACGAGAATTCTATTTCGATGTCCACCCCCCGTTGGGAAAAATGCTAGTGGCATTTGTTGGTCTGATATCAGGTTATGATGGGTCATTTGAATTTAAGAGTGGTGATCAGTACCCAAGCGGTCTACCTTACGTCGCCATGCGCGTCTACCTCGCACTGTTTGGGGTAGCGATGATCCCGCTAGGATGGTTGACCGCATCAGAGCTGCATTTCAGTTATAGAGCGCGTCACTTAGTCACTTGGATGGTGTTATTCGGTATGTCCACTGAACTTTGAAGGGTGGTTTTTCTTACCCTCCCTGTGCAGATTTAGCTTGGCTTACTATCAGTCGTTTCATTCTTTTGGATTCCCTTCTCCTATGTTTTACTTGCACAACTGTGTATTTTTTGACCAAATTCCATAATCAACAGTACCGGTTCGTTGGGAATCGCTCATCTCGTACCCTTGTTAATCCTCAACCCCCTAGATCTTTTTCGTTTGATTGGTGGTTATGGCTTATAATGACAGGTCTCTCTATTGGTGCTGTGACAAGGTGTGCACATGCTCATCCCGTTGTCTCGAGTGACGCTGATATCCCTTATCATAGCGTGAAATGGGTTGGAATGTTTGCGACAGCCCTGGTGGGACTTTACACTATTGAAGATCTTTGGGATAAGTTCGGGGATCTTCGAATGCCAGTGGTGAGTATTTATCTGCACTCTCCTTAGCGTCGGGTCTCACCGTTCGGCCTGTTCATCCAGCGAATATACGCCAAACACTGGGCAGCTCGCATATTGTGTCTCATCATCTTGCCATTCATGGTGTACCTTACTTGTTTTAAGATTCACTTCCTCATCTTGAGCCAATCCGGACCAGGTGACTCTCAAATGAGCTCACTCTTCCAGGCTAACCTGGAGGGAAATGATTTTTCGCGGAATCCATTAGGTACATGACTGAGTGTGCGTAGAAGTTATCCACTTCACTAACGACACACTCGCAGAGGTTGCTTTCGGTTCTCGCGTTACTTTGAAAAATGTTGGTTATGGCGGAGGATTGCTCCACTCTCATGTGCAAACATTCCCTGTCGGTTCCTTACAGCAGCAAGTTACCTGTTATCATTACAAAGACGATAACAATAACTGGGATATTCTCCCCTCATGGGACGAGCCAAGACTGGATCCCAACTCTTCCGAGATTCGGTTCCTCCTCGACGGTGACACGGTGCGATTGCAACATGGATCCACAACCCGAATGTTACACTCGCATGCCATTCCAGCTCCAATCACTAAGTCGGATTGGGAAGTCAGCGGTTACGGAAACGACACAGTTGGGGACGTTAATGATCATTGGGTAGTCGAGGTTCATTCGGATCTTTTTCAAGGGAAATCATCAGGATCGAGGGTGCATTCCTTGACCACGCGATTGCGCTTCCGCCACAAGACTTTAGGGTGTTATCTGAAAGCAAACAACGTTGTTCTCCCTGGATGGGGTTTCAAGCAGACTGAAGTTACGTGCGACAAAGAAAACAACCCCGATAATCCCCACACGCACTGGAATGTAGAAAGTCATTGGAACGACCACCGTAAGCGCCGTTGCGAAGCCTTTGGTATTTGAAGATATCCTGACCGTTTCCGTTCGGCAGTGCCCCCTGGCGAAGCGAAGCAGTACCACTCTCCCTTCCTTGCGGACTTTTGGCATCTCAACGTAGCCATGATGACGTCAAACAACGCTCTTGTTCCTGATCCAGACAAGTTTGATATATTGGCATCTACTCCTGACCAGTGGCCGTGGCTTAAGGTCGGTCTTCGCATGTGTGGATGGGGTGACAATCAAACAAAGTATTATTTGATTGGTAATCCTATCGTTTGGTGGGGCACAACGTTCAGTCTTATCCTCTTTGTCGCGACCTTCGGCATCTACATGTTGCGATGGCAAAGGAAGTACAATGATTTAGGACCGGGTGCGCTCTTTGCCCAAAAGTACCTCATCCTGTGCTCATCTTCTCGTCCAGAGGAATGGCAGCAATTATTACACCCTGGAAAGATTGCCCTATATGGGTGGTGTCTTCACTACAGTAAGGCTTATGCCTTTTCGTAACTTTGTAACTAATCGTGGAAAATTCCCCAAAGTCCCTTTTCTAGCTATGGGCCGAGTAAGTTGTGCTGCCCTACGATATGCTGTGCTTTGCTAATTCTTTTTCCGCAGGTGACGTACATTCATCATTATGTAGGTTTCTTCCACACTGCTGCTGCTCGACGTTCCTTATCCTATTATCTTCCTATTCCAGCTTCCTACCCTATGGTTTGCCGTATTGATGGGAGGGCATATGCTCGACCACCTCGTATTTTCGGAGAAGCGGCGGTTTACTGAGACAACGAAATCTGTACTATTGTTCATTTGTGGGATTGCGATCTTCGGCACATTTTGGTGGTTTAAGGGTGTTTCGTACGGCATCAATGGTCCAGTCGGAGAACATAAGGGTATACAGTGGAGAAATGTAAGTATATGTCTTTTGGTCCGCAACTGAGACGCTGATTCAAGGGGGACACATTAGAGTTGGAATATCTACAATTGATTCCTTCAAATCTGACTTCATGTCGCATCTTCGCATTATAATTCTTTCGCCCCCTGTTTTATGGCATTCTATCTGACTCGGACCATCATCCGCTTAAGACGAGAAGGCAGTGCCCGTTACTTGGCGATAGCTCGCTCTTCATAGTTAATTTAAGCCACAAATACTCTGTTTGGGTAGTATAAACGGCGGCAACGGCGAGATAGCACATTACAGTAAGAAGAGTATTGGAATTGGTAAATTCGTAAGAGATCATGCATAGTGCTTGCGCATAAGATAAAACGAAGCCACCAGCGGAGGGCATAAATAGCAAAATATAACAATTCAACGAATCTTCTAGTGGTTACAGCTGCAGCGTCCGTATCAGAGGGATCAATACACAGAGGTCACAGGCAAGGCCCTGATGAATAGGGACGAAAGACTATGAAGGTGCATTTTTGGGCGCAACTGTTTTGACCTGGGGGTGGTATTCACTTGCCGAGAGTGTGGGTGAGTACGAGGTCCGACTTGCGCAAGACGAGGCTCCTCGTGTAGTCGTTGATAGAAAAGTATATACGCCGACTTGTCTCGGTCTAGGGCCTTATCGGATTCCGCGACAGCGACAACATCGGACTCTGCAATAACCTCAATCTGAGTATCATCAATACGTAGCCATTCACAGCAATCCTGTCGCAGATGTCGAGGGTGTAGTGCCCTCCACTGGCGAACTTCCCGTGGTGATACACAACTACAAATGAATGCTAAGTAGGCGGTATGGGCAGTAATAAGCCTGGGACTTGCCTCCGTAGAGCCTGTATTGCACCCGTGCGCGGGATCGCTGGGCAGGGGCCAAAACATCTGGTACAGATTGACTGTCTGGCTTAGCTTTAGGTTATTGGAACCGAAGAACACACCGTTAGGGATCTCCAACAATGTTTGGTATATCAGGACCTTATTGCTCTTCTGAACGTCAGAGCCGTCATAAATAAATCGTTTAAGATGAATAACTAAAACAGGAGGCAGCGACTCGATGAAGACCTGCTTCGTGGCGTGAACAGTTCCTCCTCGAGATGTCACTTGGACGGTCTCGGCTTTAGTTAGATGACGCAAGGCATCTTCGATGTTCTGCACATCGTCAGACTGAGAGAGTATAGCGAACTTGAGCGGAATGTCCCCTCGACGCACTGTGATTACTTACTTGGATATCAAGCTGTAAGGGCTGGTAAGGCTCCAAAGTAACGGAGTCTTTGCCTAATCCAGGTACACGCAGAACGCTGCGCAGCTTGCCACCGAATATTCTTGTGATGGCAGATTCCTGAGCCTTAGTCTGCAATATAGAAGAATTAACGACGAGCATCGAGTTTTGTCGTCACACGTACAGTTCGCGTTTGGGTCACTTTGTTCCTCTTTCCCACTTCCATCCACCCATCATTATCATCATCATTCACAGGACTTACGGGCCTGTGAACCTCTCGTTCGTTCATACTTGCTGGGACGTGGGAGGCCGTCGATGTTGCCCATCCAATGGAAGATGTTGCCTGTAACCGGGTGAGCGCCGTTAAAAGTTCTTCATGGAGCGTATCAAGGAAGAAGCCTAAAAACTCTTCAGCATCCTCTTGGAGACCACCCTAATACATGGAGGTGATTAGCGTGTGTTTGGCCGTCACCGAAGCCAGCAATATACCTTCATAGAGTCAAATCGTTTGTTCTCCGACAAGGCGCTATACAGCGCTTGAGGGATAAACGAGTCTTGCTGCCAGGATAGCTGCCGCAGCTGCTCGGCTATCATTGGAGTCGATTTTCCGGATGATGGTGGCCGCTGAAGGGGCGGGTAATCTGACTCCAACTGGAACTCCCTAAGGAATCCGACGCTGCCACAAAAACATTTTGTCGGTTGGTCGCACAGAAAGCCGACTCAGACTCACGTGGCATCGACGAGGGCACGACGGCGCAAATCAGCTGGCAAGGTTCGTCCGATCATGTCAAATAACTTGTAAAATGGTGCCGTATGAAGAAGCGCCTGGAGAACGACGTTCGCAAAACACATGTTACCGGAATTGACGAGACCACGGGGATGCGTGAGCGGAGCTGGGATCGAGAGCGATGGCGAAGCTGTCAAGACCGTGTGCAAAGACGGAAGCGATCTCTGCAAAGGCTCAGGGTGCGAACGAAGAGAATGTTGGTTTGATAAAACTTCAACAGCCGGCCCGTTGCCCTCGCATGAATCCCTAGAATCAGTGGTTTCTTTAGATGCACCTGCTGGCAAAACCTCCGGTTTGAACGGTTGGGTTTTCTTGGCGATGTCTGCCCACGACTTGGTCAAAGGCCTGGGCCAAGGTGGCCCGCTTAAGGGTAAACCGGGGGAAGCTTTGGCGGTCGAGGGATAAACTGAGATTGAAGTAGCCGTAGAGATTGGTGACGATGGGGAGGGAGTGTGGCTAGATGGGGTTGGCGCGGTAGACGAATACACAGAAGAACGGCTTGGCGTTATTGATGCCCCTTCTGACACCTCAATCTGATTTTCTGAAGTGTCTGGAATCCTAGAGGCGACGTCCAACTTTGACTCTTTACCCAGTGCAAAAAGCTCCATTTCCTCGGCGGCGGGGACTTCGGCTGTTGCTGATGTTTCCGGGGTCAGGATATCATCTATGCTTGGCTCCCCAGGGACGATGGGCGTTCCGGGCACCTCAGACCCAGCCACAAATGCAAACTTCACAACTTGGGGTGGTGGCTTCGTCCGACTGCTGAAAGTGAGTCCATAGGCAATTGAAGGGTCCTCGGGACGGGAGGGTAAAATTGTGTAGGTGGCATCTGTTAGTGACCTAGGTAGGGGAATATTATTTTCTGGGGTTATTTCATCCAGGAAACCAACGAGTGGAGTGGACTTGTTTGGAGTGATTGGAGCTCCACTTGTTTGGTCCGGAAGCTCGTGAGGGAGGCAGTCTGATGGTAGTTCAGACTGAACTGGCTGACCCTCAGGAAGCGTAGGCGTGGTGGAAGGAGGCGGGATGAGTGTTGAACCCAATGCTGCGGGACCGGCTGGTGAAGTTGTCTGTACGGGGAAGGGGGAAGTGGGGACGACCATGGATGATGATGCCATTCTCTTATGAGACTGAGGCAGATTGTGGCAGGTGCGGAGTTCAAGTTTTGGCGGTGGGCATGTTTTGGTCCTCGGTATGGTGTGGAGTTGGAGCGAGTATAGTCTGAGGCTCTTGGAGATTCATATGGAGGCCTTGAGGGAGGGTAGTATGCAGCATACTGAGGAGGATATGTATAAGGGAGTGGTGGAAGATGGGGATAAAATTGTGGATTCATTGGATACGGAGCAGATTGTTGAGATGGTCCAGGCATATGAAATTGGGTTGGGTACAGTAATATGGAGGAGAAACAGCCGGCAGTCGCTGCTGTGGGTACGGGATATTCCCATACGCGACTTGAGGCTGGACAGGGGGAGCGTGATACAGATTGGGGGGTGATGGGGGCAGTGGAACGGGATATGAACGGGGAGATGATTGACTTGTCCCTGCACCTCGACCTGGCCCATGAGTCATGATAACTGTAACAATCTCAGGTCTGCGCACCAAATAAGCATAATGATACTCACTGGTGGAGAATCAAGGTAAGGTTTCCCCAATAGATTGGTGAAGTGCTGTATACATTGCTCGAAATTGGTGATATGCCACAATCCTGAGGGGAACACAAACTCACCGCTTCGAAAAACGAACACAGAGGTACTATAAAGGATGAATCACGCAAGTGGAGTATGCCAATACTGTAAGTAATAATGTCGTGAGTGATCATTCAGGGCGGGGCAAACCTGAGAAAATGAACTGACGATAGACAAAAAAAGACAGCGCAGGCTGATCGCCCAATTTAAACGAGTAGTAGAGTCTCCTTCCGAGTCGTATCGATGCCCAGATGTGAGGACCACGGGCAGACCAAGATTCCCAATTGAAGCGGGTGGGTCGGAAGCAAATCAAAACGGTCTCAACTTTTGCATTCAACCAACAGCCTCTGCCTTTGACCTTCCTCTACTTGCAAAAATGGGATTTGGTTAGTGTTTCGCGTTTGAGTTGACCTTATTTGTTAACAGGCATGTCTTTAAACCCATAGGTGATCATGGTGGACGAGGTGGTGGAAGAGGTTGGTCCCGACACATGCATACATTTTTTCTTCAAATACTTGCGGCGTCTCATTATTCTTAAGGGGGATTTGGTGGTGGACGTGGTTTCAGCCGTGGTGGTGGTGGTCCACCTGGGCGAGGTGGCCGGGGTGGTGCTGGTGGACGCGGTTTAGGACGCGGTAAAATCTTTCCTGCATCTCTTGTACTCTTGTTGATCATATTTTTGTGGCTAGGCGGCCCTCGCGGCGGAAGTGGGAGAGGTATAGTATTGACTTAACAGTGTAAATTCATCATTAACACGATTTTTGTACAGGCGGACGTGGTGGCAGAGGTATTCTGACTTCGTGGTCGTTTTGTCCATTCTGATTGTCCCTCTATCAGGAGGCGGTAGGGGGGGTGCCAGAGGCGGATCCACTGTCATCATCGAGCCTCACAGACATGCTGGCGTGTTCATTGCCAAAGGCAAGGAACACCTTCTTGTCACCAAAAACCTTGTCCCTGGTGAGGCTGTCTATGGCGAGAAGAGAATAGCAGTCGAGAGTCCGCCAGATCAAAATGGTGAGAAGGTAAAAACTGAATATCGTGTCTGGAACCCCTTCCGCAGCAAATTGGCCGCCGGTATTTTGGGGGTCTGGATGATATATTCATCGCGCCCGGTACCAAGGTTTTGTATCTTGGCGCTGCCAGTGGTACTAGTGTCAGCCATGTTGCCGACATAGTTGGGCCCGTGAGTGTTGAGTTATATCGTTAGCTAGTGCTCTGACACACCGCATTGCAACAGACTGGACTGGTGTACGCTGTCGAGTTCTCGCTGAGGTCTGGGCGCGACCTTGTCGATATGGCCAAGAAGCGTACGAATGTGATACGTGAGTGATTTTCCCGATCTGCCGCGGTGTTGTGAGATGTGCCCTAATGAATGGACCTCCCAACAGCAATCGTTGAGGATGCCCGCCATCCCAACAAGTACCGCGTACTTCTTTCTCTAGTCGATGTTATCTTTGCCGATATTGCCCAGCCAGACCAAGCCCGCATCGTTGGGTTGAACGCCCACCAATTCTTAAAACATGGCGGACATGCTGTGATCTCCATAAAGGCAAACTGTATTGACTCGACAGTACCTGCAGAAGTTGTGTTTGCTTCTGAGGTGAAGAGATTGCAGGAAGAATTGTTTAAGCCACTGGAGCAGTTAACTCTTGAACCATACGAACGAGTACGCTATTTTCTTTTTATCTGCGTCGCTTGGTGGATGACACGCTTCCTAGGATCATGCCATTCTCATCGCACAGTATCTGAGGAATAAATAAATCCGTGTTCTCACTCCTGGTGGCTTTGCCCGCGTACTGTCGCGTGTACTATCTTGCTATGCACATCTCTCCATTTTTTGTGTAGATATTCTCGGCTTAATATGATTTCTGATCACAATCACCTGGCTGAGTTCACAAGGGATATCTTATCTACCTTAGGAAATCACTGCAGCCATCTGCATATGGCCAAGTACATGAATTCGGGCGTTGAGCCTGTGTTGGCTGTTGAAATCTGGCCTCGTGACCTGATGCTTTGGCTTCTCACCCACAGCAACGCGCACACCGATAGAGGGCGACGGACAATTCTACTCGTGGACAATCTCAGTTTATTATGGCTCTGCTATCAGAGGAGATGGACAGCGATCTACTCCGTCTGTGGAGTTTAATGAATGAACTCTCAGAGCAGCTGAATACCAACCGTGCTATTGCGGCCACTTTGCAGCAGCAGGCTGCTCAAGCGAAGGTAGATAGATGATGCTAGTAGTCTGGATTAGTTCCCATAACCCCCGTTCCATAGGGTCAGGCTTTGCATACTGGTACAGGATTCGTCCTTAGAAGATTTAATACCGATTTAGCGAAAGGTGAGAACTTTGGGTTCGTCACCTTCAAGTCCCTACAACTCACACATTCTGGAAGAGGTCTTTGAATCCGAACTGGAACGAATGAATGCAAGCTTGATTATCGAGAATCAACAATTACTGCACGAGAATAAACAAATCAACTCCCTCCTCAAAGAGTACGAGCAAACACTGGAAACTGTGATGGCGAAGTTCAGAGCGCAAGCAGTATGTTTTCTCCTTCTTTGGGTCTAGGGAAGGCCAATGGTGGCCGTTTGATGCATTAGCTGTTCCTCAGCATGCCACACAGCGGCACGAGCTGACCCTCACTCGCCACTATGAATCGTTGCTTCAAGCTCGAGAAAACAACTCGTTGAATCAGGACCTCGGTCTCTCGGTATCCACATTCGAGTCACTGACAAAAATATCAGATCTACTCCGGAGAGCGTTAAGATCTCTTAGTGGCGAAGATCCAGACGCTGACGTTTCGCGAGAGGCGGATAGAGTAGATGGTTTGCAGTCTCCCGAGCACCTCAGCCTCTTCCACGAGGGTGGCTTCGAACGCTATCGCGAAGGGGATACACTGGCTCACCACAGCCATTGGACGACTGGGCTCTGGAACGGGAAGTTGAAATAGTGAGATTAGAGAACGAGAACGAGGAGCTCCGGAAACTCTTAGAAATTGCTCAGGGCAATACTTTTGAAGCCGATGAGAGGTGATGAGAGAGTGGGACAAAGCAGCGTCGTCGAAGTTGTCATCTGGCTCAATAAGGCGCGGACTATTATCAAATAATCGTGCGAGGGGTGGTATAGGACGGGGAGCATTCGCGCCCCACACGGCTTGGCTGTCTCCCGATCCTCCGACGCAGAGGAAGGGCCCGAATTATTTCAAAGAGTTTCCTACAGCATGATACTCTGCACCCATTCAGCTTGTGTGTGCAGGAACGGTCTGGCTTCACCCAATTCACATCATTAATAATTAATCGTACAAAGCAGTGAGTAAAGTTGGGACTAGGTCTAAGCCAGGCCCCGGTTTGCATTAATATAGCCCGTGCCAAAACATGATACCAAGATTTCAGTGCAGTTCTGATCTTCTGGCTCAGCCGGCACGATTTTGAAAGTTGTTCCGAATATAGCTTTTATGTCGCGGAGCAGTTGGATTCTGTCGAATCGTGAGGTCTGCGAACCCCATCAAGTGGAAGGGTCTTTTACTTACGATCGAGTCGTTAATTCGCCCATCCTACAGCGAGCGACATCCTCGCTACCAAGAAGCATGAGAGTTAAAACTATCCCTTGATGTTTGCGATCGATGCATCCGCCGCGACGAATCTCGGAGAGTAATGCCCTTGAGGCTGCCAGTGCAACGTCCTCAGGTGTTATGGCTGGTTTGGACACAACCTCTGTACAATGCAGTGCAAATGTCGTTGATTCGGCAAGAAGGCTCAACGCGAACCCAGGAGATCTGCAATAGTTGGGAAGGGGGATGCGCTAATAACTGGGATGTTTATGAACATACTTTCCGCTGTCGTCCCCCTTATAGACATCAGTGTAGAGATAAATGTCGGGTATGAATCGATTGAGCACGGATCGTGAGGCCTCGATCATCCGCTGCGAAAACTGGGGCGAGACGCGCACAGCATGCCTAAATGGTGAGCTGCATTAAGAAATGTCTGTCCCAATAAGCTGGAACCACGACGTACGCTATTCCTCGGATCCTCTTTATCTTTCCAGGTGCCACAAAGTTGATAGTTTTAGCCTGTTTGATGATTGGGCATAGAAAATTCACTTCCCCTCCACCCAATGGTACTTCTCCTCTTTTCTTGATCTGTGCTGAACCATCGGTGAGGTGAATGCAGAAGCTGTGTTAGGCACTGACCTGGAGTTCAAGACCCTCGGACACGCCAAATAATTGTAAGTGGGGCAAGGATACCGTCCGAATAAGGTCAACCTGGTAATCGTCAGAAAGAGATAAAACATAAACTATTTGGTCCCACGGATAAATCGTTGTCGTCGGAGGTGATGCCTTTCAGGGTGATGTCGACAGGTGTTTTGGCGAATGGGGCAATAAGAAGTAGTGCCTCAAGGAAGTACCCAACCGAGCGCGACAGAGGGCAGTCATGAGAGACCTTCCCCCCGCTTATGATCCCAGGCTTAAGGAGCACGGATGTACCTTTGAACAATAAGTAAAACAGACAAACTGGCTAGGATAACGCCAACCGGTGTAGGAAATTTCTATCACAGTCCCATTTGTTACTTTCTCCAAAAGTCGAAGCAGACTAACTTCATAGTCTGTGGAATATTTGCAGAAAGTTTAACGATTGTTCAGTCTGGGCCACAAAGATGAGCTACCTCTAAGTCCGGGGTCCCTGTCTTCCGACCTTATACCATCAATGCGAACGGGCTTCCCACTTAATATAGAAAGCACTAGACGTTGCCTGAGGAATTCTGGCCCGCTGAAGCGTACCAACGGCATAGGACAAGATGGATGGTGTCTGCACAGCCTCACATAATTTTTTTGGATTGTGTTCGTCGCCGTCACACTGCACGCAAAAAATAACAGAAGCCGAAAGGGATGACTAGCTGGCCTAGGCTATTTCTGTAATGTGAATAGGGGCCTGTATGAGGAACATATATTTAGCTGTCGTATGCTGGCCGTGAGACAGATCCAAGGTGAACCGCGCTGGGCGATGTCAATAAATATCGATGAGGAAAGCTTCCACTATCATTGCCATTTCGATGGGTGAGAAAACTCAAGGCGACAGTTCATTGAAGAGAGCAGTACGTTCGCCAAGCTGGCCGTCAAGGTGTGACGTTGTGAGTGTGTGACAAAGCGACGCGACTGACTTGCCTCCATCATGGCCACTGACCCTAGTCTTCTCGTTAATGCTGCCCATGATGCAGGATATACCATCGTTAGGTTCTCAAGAGACGGAAAGTGCGTGTCCTCGTATTCGGAAACCTCCACTCTCCCTTTTAACGTTGTGGCCGATCAGACAAATCTATACCGCGGGCTACGATGAGGTCGTTCGAGTATGGGACGCGTCGAAAGGGTCCTCGCAAGAGCCAAAAGTCATTCAGGATGCTGATGGACCCGTTACTAGCGTGGACTGCACCGTAAGACGCGATACTACGTGCTTTGGCTGGTGAACTGATCCCCGTGCCCAGACTAATTCTTGGCTCTCAGCAAGTCAAGATGGACTTGTTCGAAAATATAGTGTGAAGACGGATGATAAAGAGGATGACATATATAATGCTAATGGTGCCTCGATTCGTTGTATTGCGGTTAGTCCTGATGGAGAACATTTTGCCGTCGCGTCAGAGTTAGTTCGCTCGGCCCAATACGGGTGGCCATTGTTCGCTTACCTTCCACCATTCTAAGGGAACTATTTGTAAAAGTGATCTCGATCTCTGAGGTTGGCAGCGTAACTGTCCTTGGAGACCACAAACGAGGTGTGAGGGCGGTCACTTGGTCTCCAGACGGAAACAACATTGTGAGCATTTCGATTCCTGGGCATCTTGAGATCGATGAAAGTTTATTCATTGTCCAGACGACTACTGCGCAAGATGGTGGCATTTATGTATGGGCCCAATCTTCTCCTGGCCAATGGAGTCTGTCTTCCACCCTCACTGGGATAGTACCCGCCGTCCACGATGATGGGTGAGCAGAATATCGCAGGCGTACCGTCACCATTGGCTCATGTTTATGTTTCCATCACAAAAGAGCCCTTGAATTCAATCATAATTCTGCCGCTATCTGGCACCCTAACGGACGCTATTTCGTGGTGCCTAACAATAGTCATGGTGGGTCAACTCAATTGGTGTGAATGGGCTATTGTTGCTGATTAAAAGGAAGATATCGCGGTTGTCTCTGCGGAGATCTGGGAATCCATGGGTCATTTTGAGGCGGGGAAAATACTTGATTGTGTGGGTCGCATTCCGACTCCAAAATGAGTTGCTTCTAGAATACACCTACAGGCTGTCACATCTCTTGCCTTCTCTCCAGATGGGAAACACCTAGCGTCAGGTGCCGCTGACGGCCAAGTTCTTATCTGGGATACTGCCACGCGGAAGGTGGTCAGCCGGTAAGCTTGTTTCACACAAGAAAAAATTTAGGGTGGACGCTGATTGAAAGGTTGGAAACCAGTACTCAAACGAAAGATAGATCCCCGATAACGAGTATCACCTTCTCACCGTCTGACGATGCCCTTGCATGGACTGATATCGATGGCATGCTTACTCGTTGGAACAACGTGATTTCAACTTCAAGCCCCGGTCCCAGGGCAGCGACGTCCGGCGCACGAAGCAAAGCCCCCTCGAAGTCTGAAGGTGATGGTGTTGACCTCTTTGACGATATTGGGGAAGATATTGCCGACGATGCAGATATGAACGTGGATGAAGAATACAAGGATGATTGGATTATTGACGACAATGCTGGGATAAATTATAAAGAATCGGGGCCTTCAAGACCCAGTCACAGTGGTCTGCGTGAAATGGGTGCGTGTTTTGATCTAGCAGAATCAATTTCACCCACCTTCATGGGCAGTGAGCGTGACAAAGGCTCAGCCAGCGTTTCAGCCTGGGTCCACGCCTTTCCGAAACAAGAAACGCTACCTAGGTGCGCTATTGATATCGTGGTGTTCTAATGTAGCGATTAATTTGTTCGACAGCGTTCAACATGCTTGGGGTGATTGAGGCGACTGATCAAGACACACATCACGTTATTAACGTCGAATTCCACGATAAGTCCTCACACCGAGGGTACCACTTCCAAGACCATTTTAGATACCATCTGGCCTCGTTAGGACCCCGAGGGGCGCTGTACGCTTGCGCTCCCGAAGGGTCCAATCCTGCTCAAGTACACTATCGCCCCTATGAAACGTGGGCAAGTGCTCCGGATTGGCAAATGGCTCTGCCAGATGGCGAAGTTCCTGTTTCAGTATGCGCAGGAGGAACCCCCCTATATAGAAAGTCGGAAGACGAGAGTCAGGACGAGTTGGGTAGAGGGCCGAAAGATGCTGGTGGCGCAGGTTATGCAGTCATTGCTACATCTTCTGGTCTTATCCGGTTCTGGCTTGGGACGGGTATTCAGACTTATCTGTGGCACTTGGGCGGCGAGATTGTAGCCATGGAGGCAGGCGCCGAATGGGTGTTCGTGATCCACAGAGATGGTGGCACGAGTCTGGATGGTTCGTCGAACTTGTTCACTACCCTAATTTCTTAAATGCTAATCTGATTCGTTAGGTTGTCAGAATTTGAACTACACGTTGATGTCGTTGGACTCGTTCGATATTATTAACTCTGGGCCAGTGCCTCTTGGTAAAGGGGTAACTCTCAAATGGATTGGCATTACATCTGAGGGAGTCAGTTGCCTTAGGAACTCCTTGTGCATTTACGTTTGATTAATCGTTTCTCATCCAGGCTCCGGTAATATTCGACTCGAAGGGAGTATTGTCCATCTTGGACAGGTTCAGACGGCCGACTCAGGGCCGATGGGTTATTGCTCTTGACACCAACCTCGGACGTAGAGAGGGAAAAGATGAATCATACTGGCCTGTTGGGCTTTCCTTCACGGAATTCATGTGTATTGTTCTAAAAGTTCGTTCGAGCTTCTAGTCGTGTAAATCCCTTAACAAGCTTTCTTCCTCAAGGGGCGACAAGAACATCCTGATTTCCCTAGACCACTAGTGCAAGAGCTGGAGGTTCGAATGCCTCTACTAAACGTCGGCACCCCTCAAGGCCAGTTTGAAGAGAGGTGGGAGTCCCGATTTCTGTCCCTGTAACCCGAACTCAGTCGCCCTGATCCCGCAGGGTGCTCCGGGAGAACATCTACATTTCCATGCAACGTGACGCCCTCCCACCATCTGAATCAACAACGGACGAGATTGAACAACAGGCCCTGTCACTTGACAAGATTATTTTGCAGTTACTTCAGGCTGCGTGTAAAGCCGACAAGCTTGAACGTGCCTTGGACTACACGTCAATGCTACGCAATCCGGCTTCCTTCGCTGCAGCTCAAAAGATTGCCGAGTTCTACCATCTTCCTGGACTGAGGGAGAAAATAGCCAAACTTGAAGAGTTTCGGGAAGAGAACGAGGAGGATGACGAACGTGACGTCAGGAGTGGATGGGGGCGTATTCACGAGCCAGTTCCTCGGGCAGGCGTTGCTCAGTTCGATAATATTGCAAGGCACAACCATGCTAATGGAGATGTTGGACGTTTAAGTGACAACTTTGCCCCAGTGCCGGTTGTGCCGCGTCGGTCTTTGGCAGCTGCATCATCAGCTATGCCTGAGCCGTCGTCGATTAGTCTCTCAATGCCATCCAGTCCTCCACTTTCCACAACAGGTAATTATTATGCAGACGATTCCTTGGACTCATACATGGAAACTTCCGGAAAGCGAAAGCGGGACGAGGACAGCCAATCGACCTTGATGGACAGCCCAAAGAGAAGGACGTCGCCGTTATCACGAAGCAGACCTCCAGTGCCCAATAGTGAGCCCACTTTCACTCGAAGAAAGGTGGGACTTATTATCTCATTCATGCAGGTAAAAACCCGTTTGCAAGAAAAAGGGCGATAGAAGGTGGAGCTTTGTCTAGTCCATTCGCCCGGAAGGGTGGCCAACCCATCAATACCGTCAAGAGCAACAGTTTCTTTGACAAAGTCGACGCTGCTGATTCTGAAGTTGCAGCTCGTGCGTTACCACCGCGCTTTCCATATTTTTTTAAAACTAACAAACTTCAAATGTAGCTCTGCGTGGGCGGGCCGGTAAAGACAGTGGAAAGAAGGATGGCAGTCGGCAATCGACACTGTTCGGACTGCCCCCGCCCCCGCCACCCGATGCTGTCGCGAAGCCTGGAAAGAAGAGCAGAGGCAGTGAGGATGATACGGCGTCCGGTCACAAGCGGCCAATCAACCCAGGAGCTGGTCCGCAGTCGAAGGCATCGAGTGGCAGCGCGAAGGCTTCAGTTAATAACCGCCCCGCTGAATCTGAGGAATCTCAAAAGACTGTCGCAACCGCAACCGAGCCCGGCTCGCCGATGGGCGAGGAGACTCTAGACACAGAGACTAGGGAGCGCCAGGGGTCACCGGATTGGGATATTCCTGATGATGAGGCTGCTGAGGATGACGAGATGACATGATGTCCTCTATGAGTCTGCAAAAATTTACTTGGTGGTTCTGTATACCTGCTTACTGAATATTGTTTATACTGTACTCTGATTCATTATATTGGACTGATATTATTATATCTATGCGTCCGATTTCCATCATCTTATCGGTGGCTTGCACTGAGACAATGTAAATTGCCCGGCTTGCTCGGGCTCGCCACAGAACATCCCTGCACTGTGACCTTAGAACACGCGAAAGTAAGGCTGACTGGAATGTGGCCTCCACGTTGCGGAAGTTCGCGGGTGGGGCTGTGACTGTTACGGCAGGTTATGATAATGTAGGGCCTTACCGGATAAAGGAAGCTCGGATGCAAACATGATGGAATTGTTCGGTCGCAACATGGCGTTCATGAATAGCAACGACCTGACGACGAGTTAGTGTTAACCGTTTCCCTTCCATTTGCGCCCCTCTTGCACTTGCTGTTCTCCTCACTCTGCAGACTCTGTTCCAATCTCGTTCTGCTCAGGTGCAGGGCACCAAACTGGAAGAAACTCACCTTTTAATTACCATTGCTGGATATCCGTATACAGTCACCACGTGTGGGCGGTTTCCTGCACGAGTATCATTCCCTACCTGCTCTCTACTTTTTGTCTTTTCTTCACTGGCTTTGAGAAAGCTGTCTGTTTTCTGTAATGGGCCTTCCACCATTTGGCGCGTTCAAACCACTATGCCGCACTGTTGGGTCATACCCCATCTGTAACTTGTTTTTCAGACAGGTGCGGGAAACGTCGCGTTCAGCGGTTCGCCTACGGAGCCTTTGTCTATGCTGACTGTTGCTTTTTATTAGCTCGCCAAACATTTCCCTGATGAATTCCCAACAAGTAACCTCTACGACTTCACGAAGGTAGCGCCTGTCGGCATAAATATTGAATGCGGGATACCACGCGCTTCGGGCTCTGGACATCTTGGGAACATAGCGAACACCATCGCATGCGGTTTGTCAATAATTGCTGTGCTTTTGCTCGTTTTGCGATGCTCAAAACGGGAGGCCGCTGTTGGTGAGTCTCGTTATCTTTGCTATCTGAATCGTTTCACCGATCTTTCCGATTAAGGCCGTGCAGAGTTTCGAGCTCTACTTCTCATGTACGGGCTCACGCTCGTCCTCCAGGTGCATACGTTGTCAAGCCAGCGCTCTATCTACTCGGGGGCTGAACCTTATGTACCTCTGCAGATTCTTACGACAGGCTCCTACCTTAGACAATCCTCAACAGGGTTGGTTATAGTCACAGCAGTGCATATGGGCGCTGTAGTCGGTTTTTTCTGGGGTCTGCTCGCAAACGCCATCGTTTCCACTCAATTTGTGGAAGGTATGTCCCACCCCTTCCCGTGGGACTTTCCCTGTCGTCTCATATCTCATCCCTGTCACCATCAGATGGGACTCCTTCAAGTTTGATTGTAAGATATTTCGTTCAAAAGATTCCTTCCCTTTGTTCTTGAGTCCGCTCACACGTTGTTCAAAGCCATTCTATGGCATATACATCATTTTGTTTGGCGCCACTACCTATATTTCCCTTGACACTGCATTTAGCTTTACGACGGCATTCAATCCCTCGAACCCGCCGTCAATTCTCCAAAATGTGCCATTGTTCGTCCTTACCAGCGTCTGGCCCGCATTGTGAGTCTCGAAAGTCCCCACTCACTTGGCGTTTATGGGCTTAGGGTTTCGTTCATTAGTTGCGCATTTGCGTATTTCATCATCATAAGTTATGTTGTCGTACGGATGTTAGATGAAGGGCGCCCGTTACGTAAGTGGCAACTGACACTCAGGGCTGTTCACTTGAAATTATCTTCTTATCTTTCTTTTTGTTTCTTAGTTTGGTTCTTAGTGGCGGCCCTGCTATTCGTGCTCTCCCAGCTGGACTACTTCCTTCTAAGCAAGGTGATATGTAAAGGCACGAATGCAAAGATTGATGGGTCGTTCGTAGCAACCATCCTAGAAGTGGGTAGAAAATGCTTGCGTCAACGCAAGTGCCAATAACGTTCCTTCCTTTACGTACGTAGACACTCTCGGTTGGTGTATTGTTCGGCGGGTGGGTAAGCATAACAGAAGGTAAGATGGACTTCTATTCACACACCCGAGCGTGCACTCATAACTCCTCTAGACACCTGGGAAGACCCGTATCTATACCCGCCGAAGTAATTTATATATTCTTTTCTTTTATCCCTTTGCCCAAAGACGGGTGCTTTCGTTTTGAAACTTCCTCATCACTTTCCCCCCATTTTATGATTTCATTGTACGACGAACTACTTGATTCCGATCCTTTTTTCTATTTTACTCCTCGTGCCATTCTTTCGGGTGCGAATCTTTCATGTGGATCAACACTCAATTCTCCATCGGTGTTTCAAGGGGTGCAACATAGGTCTCTCTAGATGGTTTCCAAGCAGGGGCCTCAGGACTTGTCCTCCTGGATTCGGCACAGGGTGCCCCAATGGGAATCCAGCCTGTTACGAGCCTATCGGCGCTTAGGCGTGGGGACTGGAGCAAAGATGCAAGAACTCGAGAAGTTGAGACAAAAAATGATAAGCAAGCGACCTGTGTTGACCAATTGAAGATTCAGTCATTGCTGGTCAACGGTTTTATATACATACATGGACATAGGTTATCTAGGCCAAGTGCAATCTAGATGTAGACTGGGCACATACCATATGAGAACGAGATACATGGGACGTCCGTGATGTCCGTTCGCGGTTACTACACTTATAACCCGCTTACAGTGGGGAAATAGCGCTGAAGCTTGGCAAAGATGATGTATATTAAGTGCTCATTATATTGTGCTCTTAAATTCAAGAGATTCTGATGCGTAAACTTGAACTTGTTGAATTGGGCAGAAATGTGCGTTGGCTGAGTTGGGTCTGTATTCCTCATAGACTTCTATAGCCAACAACTATTTCATCATGCCGACCTGAAATATTCATACAAGCTGTCTGGAGTATTAACAAAATGGTAGGTTCACAACAAGACATAATTTTGTCCTGCCTTCCTCAGTGTCACATAAATGTCCTACAAAACACCATCTAATGAGGGCCTCACTACTGCTAAATATCACATATAAGTGTGGAATAAATCAATTAACGCCCTACAATCCTTATGTACAACTACAAAAGTTTACCATCCTACATGATTACTGTCGTCAAATACCTTGAGCATAGAAATGATCCATAAAAGCCTTCGTGGTTGTCATAGTCAAATCAAAGACTGGATGAGTGGCATTCTAATTGAGGGTCGTGAGCATTTTGCGTTGACAACTTCTTAGGCATTGTACATACCACTCGATTGACTTTCCCCCCCACGTATCGCGATGCGGGCTCATCCTCAACCCACGACGTGCTTGTAACAAATATCTCCCTCCTTACCTCATCGGGGAACCTCTCGACAGCGTTTCCATTGGGCTTAATGATTGGTAAACTCCAAGAAGACTTCCATGCTTTGGCAACTCTTTCACGTTCCTGCGGCGGCCGGTGTAAACGATGCTGGGCGGCTGAAAGACCGGAAAGGTTGTACAAGGTATGGTATGCATCTGCTGGTTTGCTGGGCTTGTCGCGCAAACCGCCCGTGTCCGCTTGGGACGATATGAGAATAAATCTCTGCAGTGCTTCTAGAATGAACGGCAAGTTTCATATTAGTGCTCGAAGCCGGAAATAAATTAACGTACGCCGATTAAAAAGACTTTCGACTACGCAGGGTGAAAAAACAAGTCAGATGATTGTGAAAGACCTTGTTCTATGGAAACACGCACTATCATCATCAGCCCACTCATCTTCGCCATGTTCATCAACTGTAGTATCTCTCCCTGCAGCATCCCTCGACATCAGGGGTTCCCCCATAATATCGTCCAAAATTGGGAATAGCCCTCCAACCCACCAGCTATAACAACCATCCACCAGTTTATTCGTCCGACCTCGGAAACCGCCACCTTCAACTTCAGCACCTTGCAAGCTTGCGGCCCACCGATATAAGCGCTTGATATTCAAGCCCATCCAACGTGTCGTCGATCTGAGCGGCTGATGGGGCGTCTCAGCCATCTTGATGGGCTCAAGAAGCGCCAATGCGGCTAAAGCACAATAAGTGTAACCCCCATGTGCTTCTCCGAGAGGTGGCCGAGGGTAAGTAAGTAAAGTCTCCCCATTGGGCTTCGTGTCAGCGTCGGAAGCGGAGAAGTAGGGTTGAGAAGCAGCGCTAAAACCCCCTTCGTAAGTCTGGCAGCTGAGCGGTAGGGAAGTCAGTTAATGAAGAAATTAACGTAATCCCTGGGTATGAGAAACAGACCTTGCCAAGAACGTGTCGAGACCTTCAACCAGCTCAGGCGTCATAATATCGAGAAGTGTAGCAACAACAAGAAGGCAATAGATACCCCTAACGAGCGAGTGAGACTCTACAAAAAAGGATAGAGTAGCCACTGACCTCACGTCGACTTCAGCGTGCGCACTAACAAGAAAGGAGCCGTCTGGTTGTTTGAGTGACATGAGCCATTCGTACATTTTAACGCGATCGATCTGATCCCATCCCCCGTTGGGACCAGCGAAACCCATAATGGCTATCGAGCACACGGCAGCATAATTAGCAAGTAGATGAGCATTCTGTCCAGGACCACCGCAGAATCCTCCTTGAGGATGCTGATAACGAAGAACCGTTGAAACTGCACTATGACGAGGCTATGAGACAATATTGCGTATCTGAACGAGTGCCATACCGTGTCCGATTGCCATCGTCAAACTTCACTCCGAGTGTCTGAAATGATTGGAATGTCCAAAACAGCAACCATGGCTGGCTTGCATCTTGCGACATATAGCGCCTAGGGAACCCTTGAAAGACGAAGCGGGCGACAAAGTTCAGATGTGCATTCCGGTTGAGTGTATATCTGAACAATCGCTTATATTTAACTGCAACGTTGGTGTCAAAGGTCTTCCATCACTTACCGCTGAGGTTTGGCAGTCTCGAACAATGTCCGGATAAGCTTTTCTGTCTCTTCCTGAAGCGCCACAAGTCAGACTTGGAAAATATCAGCAGATACGCATCGTTGAATACCTGAACTTTCGATGTAGCGGTTGGGAAGCGGTCCGTAGGGGAAGCCTTGGGTTCTCCCTCCATGAGCGCGTGAGCGGTGGTAGTGCGATAGAACAGTTCATGCCTGGCCACATTATCTCAGATCGCAGTATCACGTGGATGACATATTCAGCCGCAAACGGCTTAGTCTGTCCTATTTTGGGACCCGTTCAGCGCTTGCGTTTGCCTCATTTCATGTTATTTTTTTACGTATTTGTTGATGCAACAGTTCCCAGTGAATTGAGGCGTTGAGATATTATCTCCAGGTGGCAACCTTGTCTTCCGGAACTCTATCGTGCCGAACATCCGGTTCGGAATCGATGAGATCACTGGTCTGTATTTCCGATCCGGTCAGTTACCCTATTGTTTTTCAGGGAATCTCCCTTTCTTGTTGTCCGGTTTTCTCCGTTAAAGAGAATTAAGCTGGTCACTTGCCTAGGTTCTCTCTGCGTATCGAGAGTACACTTTGGCTGACATCTCATGCTTATCATGGGGGATGGTTTTTTGGGGCACACGCCACATTTAAAGCGAAATTTTCCGTCACTTAATTCCAGGATACCACTTTTATTTATTTGTCGGGTCAAACTTGGGGGCATGTTCAGAGGTGTTTCCATCCACTAGCTGACCCGAATTCCCTGTTTGTTCTTTGGGTTGTTCTGTGGTGTCTATGATGTAGGGATGGGGTGGTTCGGTTCGGAGAGCTGAACCGAAGACCCTAAATCGCAAACGTGATAATAGGTTGGCTCATACTCTTGGAAGGGCCGAGGGATGGGGTATTTCCCTTACCTTCACGGAAAAGAGATGGGGCCTCGTTGCTTGATTTCGCCTGAGGATGACGAGAGAAGGGAAATGATGATGATAAAGAAGGTTCGATCTGACAAATTTCGCGTAGAGATATCATGCACTGGTTCGGTTCAATACTGAGCCCGAATGCAATCAGTTTGCGTAGTTGATACGTTTGGAACCCCCTGTTCTCCGAGACTCCTTCAACCCTCGTACACCGTTCGGGGTATTCCTAGCCCCCCAGGGAAGCGTGAGCCCAACACGGTGCGCGAAGCCATAGTGTGTAAATGCAGTGGTGGCAGCTCTGGACAGCCCCGATCTCACACCCACTAAACAGAAGCTGATCACCTGCCTATCTCCGCCCAGGCACTGTCAGATCGAATTGGGGATGTCATAGAGATGGAGAGGTTTCCCAACGTTCTATACGAAGCACAAGGAAGCGGGAAATGGGTTTAAACTACTAGTGGGAAAGGGATGCTTCAGCGCTATAGGCTCATGCTCAGCCTATCATGGTCCGGTGAAGAATCACGAAATTTTGCCGTTATTTTAGAAATGTCTGCAAACACAGTGTAACAAACAGGAAGACCGTCCGATAGAGCTTGGAGACCCTCAATCCAGCCGGAGTCTGTCCGGAATCGGGGTCCGGGGTCCGTCCAGCGCTCTTCCCCATGATACCAAACAGATGAGACATAAGTCAATGCAGAACAGCGGTAGCGGACAGAAAAGGATTTGTAAAGGGGATCATGATTCATGGTATCGGTTTTCAACTAGTTCCCTGAGCTCCCTGGAAGTAACTTGCGTAATACGGGGAACTCTGACTGGATGAGACTTCACTCCCAACCGAAAGTGGAGTTCGCACTCCAGGGGATAAGACACCAGGATCAAGGCTAAAAATGCCCAATTAGTGTCGGAGAAGACGGAGTGATCAGAACTTTGTATTACCTCGTTGGCGACTGGGGGGTCGAACCACTGAGAAAAGACGGCGACTGATGGGATGGCATTAGCAAGGAGGTATCATTGTTCGTACTTGTCATTTCGGGCGCATAAGCTCCTTCCGGATCATTTCGTCTATTCTTGGATGTACCGAACAAACTCCCCCAGAATCCTGCACCTCCAACACTGCCAGCAATGCCTCCAATGACTGACCCTGATCCTGCTCCAGGACCCAAAGCCAAGGCAGAGCCAGCGCCCGCAAACCCAGGTGCCATGCCAGCTGCCCCAGCTCCTCCCGCGGGTGCGAAGCCTCCGACTCCAGGCGCAAAACCAGCACTAGCACCGACCCCAAAGGCGCCAACACCAGGAGCCATTGACGCAGCAGGGATGGCTGAAGCTGTAGTTCCAGGGCCGAAGGCAGCGGCCGGACCAACAGAAGCGCTTACTCCAGGAGTAACCGTTGCACCGACACCCGCGCTAACACCCGACGCTGCACCACTCCCGGCAATTCCAGCGCCCGATCCTACAGACGCACTGACACCCGACGCTGCACCCGCGACACCTCCAGCAGCAAACGGTGCCTGAGCTGCACCCGCAGCCGCGCTCACGCCTCCGCCTGCACCGTAACCTGCAGTCGCCCCGGCACCTCCAGAGGCAGCCGCACCTTTGGCAGCTGCTGAAGCCGCAGACACGGCACCCGCTGCTGCCGTTTTGGCATGAACAACGTAAGCGACGGCCGCAACAGCGGCAACAGCGGCCACTGCACCCACCGCACCCCCTACAATTGAACCTGTTTTAGTACTTCCACCACCCCCGCTGCCACCGCCCCCGCTTCCCCCACTCGAGTCGTCAACGGGCCCACCGGAGCAAGAAGGTTTGGGAGGGGAGTAGTGGGAGACTCCGGTGGGATTGCTGAGTTTCTGATTCTCTGGATTGCCTGTGTGAGCGAAGAATTGTCGGCGTGCCATTTATCAGCTAATGTTTGCACACGGTGAAAGAAACCTTACGCACGTCCAATCTTTTTAGAAAGGGGGGCATTGTACCTAGCGAAATGGGTGATCGTCAAGCCCTCCGATAGACAGGATGTCTGACGCTGAAAGATCACGTACCAATCATTGTTTTGGCTTGGTTTGAGATAAGCCCAAGCCGGAATGCGAGTGTCGCTAGGAATTGAAACGGGGAAGCTAGTACGAAGGAAAAGATTTGAAGGTGTTCCCGCTAGGAACAATGTCTAGCTTGCTCACTCTCCATCCGTAATGTAAGAAGTGGAACAATTAGCGGTATAATTTGTGAATCTATAAAAACCATCCGACTTTAACAGACCGCACGGATAATGTTGCGCAGACAGACCACGTACGTGACATAAGGTTCTCCTTGACAACCGGCGCACGCAGCAATCACATTGTAGACAACGGATGAACAAACACCTTCTCAAAACCTAAATGTTAGCCACAGCGGGGGCACAATGGAAAACACACATTGGCTTGTAGGTAGCCCAGTATTGTCCATGGGCGAGTTGTAAGGTTCACACTCTGGGGAAAGATAGTCCATAGTCCCCCACCCTACATTTGAACCGATATGTCAAGAATGTATCTAGAAGATGCCCGAAGTACCCTCGCAGGCTCCCATGAGCCACGCAGCTACCTAGTGGTACAGCAAATGGTATCGTAAACGCGCGAACGAGGATCAAATGAGCACAGTCACTCACTGAACATGGACTTTGACCCAACGAATTATTCGCCTACGGGGAAGACGACGTCGTTCATCGCCGAATTAAGGATCGTTGTCCGAAGTCACACACCCAATCGTAATCTTGTTGGCACTTGACGCTTGAGGTGCCAAACAGCTGGCTCGAATCCCGAGCTGGTGTCGCGAAGCTGAGCTCCCGCGCGAATCCTTCACGAACGGATAGCAGGCAGAGGTAGAAGAGGCTTCTTTTCAGAATGAAAGCGGCCATTGCGGAGCGAGGCGTAGAACAGGACGTGGAACAACTGCCGGGTTCGTGTCCTTAAAATAGCGCCCTACATTTGCAGCCAGGCACGGCCAAGACCAAGCATCGCAATTTGACATCGTTACATAAATATCAATCGGTGTTGCAACACTGCCACGCGCGGCGCTCGCCTGTAATGTCCTGCTCCAGCAGCCCTGACTTACGTAGATCCAGTTCAAAAGCCCTTCATCAGGAAATTGTCTTCGTTGAACCTCCTTCAGCTGACTCCAGACTAGGCAGGACTTCAAATTGCGCCCACGGTCTGAGCTCTTCCCCCCAAAGACAAACAATGTGCCTGCACAACAGCGAAAGCTACCGAGGATTCCACAAAAAACGGTCCAACTCAGAGTTGGGGCTTAGCAGCTGAACTGTTCGGAATATGTCCGTCATTTTAACTGAATCAGGTAATGTAAGTCACTGCCAAGCTGGGAAAATCGCGATATCATGGCGCAAGCACGGCCTTTGTGTAATGGAGTCAAAAAAGTCTCTATTCGCGTCGCGACTACACCAGGCATAACATTCATTCTCTAAGGCTCGTTCACCCTCGTTCAGGCTCGGACGAGGTGGTGTAGGAGATTGCTGCGCACATCTTCAATGTCCTTATAGCCTGCCAGCCCCATAGTCGCGTTCAAGTCGGATAATAGTATCTTGAGAACCTCCTCGACCCCTTCTTGCCCTTGCAATGCAAGACCGTACATATAGGATCTTCCAACTGCAGCACAAACGGTTATTCAATCCCCAGCTTCAGCAACGCTAGCTTGACGAATGACAGAAGCCTGCTTGCTTACCCAGAACAGCTTGAGCCCCCAGCCCAAGCGCCTTCAGTATATCCGAGCCGGTTCGAATGCCTGAATCAAACAGGACGGTGAACTTTCCAGTCTTCTGAGCTTCTCTAACCCGCGAAGATTTCATGATGCGCTCCAATGCATCAAGAGAACCAATTGCGCCGTCCACCTGTCTCCCACCTGATAACTCCTCACTGTCTGGAAATTCCGAGAATCCGAAAAACATACCATGATTGGATACAACAATCCCGTCCACCCCAGCATCAATTGCTTTCTCGGCATCCTCCAAACTCTGAATGCCTTTTAGCAACAATGGCCCCTCCCAACTGGTTCTCAGGAACCCAACGTCGCTCCAAGTTCTGAAAAACCCAGAAGTCACTTCGTCCTTTAACCATCTGATGGCAATCTCCATTATTTTCTTGAACTCCTCAGTCTTAGGGCCATTTCCTGCAGCAAGTGTATTCAAGGTTTCTGGATCGTACGGGAAGGTCGGAACCACATCCATGGGGATAGAGTTACACTTTGTCATGAAGACGGGATCGGAAAAGCCGATCTGACAACCAACTCCGTGTATGAAAGGGAGGTAGTTGATTTTAAGGTCTTCAGGCCGCCAACCGAGGAGGATCGTGTCGAGGGTCACCACAAGTGCTGAGTAACCATTCTGCTTTGCACGGTTGAGAAGGGATAAAGTAATGGCATTATCTTTTGGCCTTTTCTCGCATTGTCCTTAGACTTGAACCAGCGAAGGCGACAGACACTTACCAGTACAATTGGAACCAACGTGATCCAGCTCCGTTTTCGTTCGCCACTTGTTCGATACTACGCGAGGCAGCCGTGCTAAGTGTGTATATGGCCTTCAGCCTCTGTGCGGCACGAGCAGTGGCCAATTCTGCATCTTCGTGCGCGATCCCCTGAACTCCCACAGGACCCAAGATAATAGGGTGGGGGTACTTCTTCCCGAAAAGAGTGACCTAAGGTAACATACGTCCAGTGCACAACAGCCGATAGTAGGAGACTGACTGCTCACAGATAAATCCCGCACGGTAGCGTCTACCATCATCCTGGGATAATCCTCCATTTGTCGAAAGCCGTACGGTTTGCCAAATGAGTTAAGCCTTTCCCGGCTGAACCAGCGATGTACCAGAAAGCCCCGTCTTCATCTGAGAGATCCATGTGGGCAGAAAGCTCGTCACACTGGTCAAGATCAGGGAGCTACTTGCCTTTCCTGAGTTTCTCAGCAGCTAATTCTTCAAGTTTGTCCATGTCCACTGTCTGAAAAATGGGTGGTCTTTGGGTGAGATATATCTGGTGTTGATACAGTGACGGGTCATCCCTGATCGCTTTGATGATTGCAGCTTGGGCAGCGTTCCCTTCGTTGTCGTCGCTCATGATGACGTGGTCCAATCGGTCTGGGTCAGCGGGTAGTCTCGGCCCAAGTGGGGCCGACGAAACAATACCATTGAAGAAACGGATGCAGAAGCAAATACAAAGATCGAAAGACATACAGGAGTAATGAAAGACATACGCAGAGGCATGAAGAAAGACATACACTGAGGAGCGATAATCCAAGGAGATACGAAAGCAATAGCGGAAGAGACACATGCATCAGGTGAAGAAACCGCAACAGCAAACGGAAGCGAGGAGGGAGATGCGAAAAATGGTAAGCGTAGGATGAGAATAAAGCTGAGCAGAAAAGTTATGATGCCACATGCGGAGTTCACTGAACCCACGTAAGCGTGCGCTGAGAGTACCAGCGAAACGCAAATAACTACGCAAGGCCAGTGAAACTGTCGCGCTGGGCTTACCAGCCGAACGCGAACGCGAAGAGCTGATGGAAGGACAGGGGGATTGCATGGCGCTAATTTGAATTGCAGCCGGGTAAGTTAGGACCCGGGGTGTCATCCACTTAGCATTGCAAAACTAGATGGCCATCCCTGAGCCGCGCGTAGCCCAACACATGAAACAAGATATTAAACCCACCGGGGAGCCTCGACGACTTTCGAGACTCTTGAATAGAAATCAATCCGGTAAACGGTAGGCAACAAAATCGATCTAGAGAGCGGGCAACCGCTGACTGGGCGCATCAGCATGCGATGAGGGTACGGCGCAATGTGTGCAGCGGGCGCGAATGTGTCCCAAGCATACGGCGGGGAGCGTAGGTGGACAACAAGCCTAATTAATCTCGTGCCTCTATTAAATCGCAATTTATTGAGGCGCTTGTAATTTTAAATTCTCCCGGACCTGATGCTCGACAATTCTACCTGTAGCGGTTCAGCACGTGCACATTCACCCATCACCCCACAAGCCGTGATGGCGGGGTTGGACTTTGACTTCCTCAGTTGCCTTAAGACGTAGTAAGTGATCTACTATTCACATACTAAATATCCTTTCTTCGGTTATCGCTTGGTGCCTGGATTTAAAAGCCCCAAGCAGGGCCAGCCTGGGTCACTGCACAAAATACTCTGCTGGTTGATTTTAGTGCTCATCCGATCTGGGGTGTTCTCTTGTGTCTTTTCTTCCCTTTTGCTCTAGCCATGTTCGTTTAACCCATTCCAAAAATGGTGGCATTTAGTACGGTCCCTTTTGATCCATGCATAATTTATGAGACACATACATGGCTGCACAGCTTTATGCTCTGCTAAACTGTTGTCGTGGCAGCCCGACGCCACACGAGGACAAAGGGGAGGCGGAGCTGCAGGCAAAGCGTTGCCGAGTGGCAAACCCTTAGTGGCACAAAGCGTCAGAGGCGCTAGTTTCACCGTTGTTGTCTGCTTTGTTACATAGTTAGATAGACATAAAGGGACGAGGATTACCTGAGTGCGATGCTCAACCACGCTTGACATCGCGCTCTAGACAACACGTCTTAAGTCCGACCTCACGCTCCCGTTCGCCTGAGTCTTTCCCCCGCTGATCAACATAAACTGCCTTAGTTCGATAGTATTGTAATGGCTGGCATGTGCATTCGGCAGACCCACATGATAATCCACTGTTGACAGCTTCACTACAACACTGTTATTCGAATAGAACAACCATATTCATTCGCATATGCCATATTAGCACAACTGCTGAGGCACAACGCAGAGTTGTCGGATTCGCGCGCGCAACCCACTGCGCCTCAGTGCTAATAATGCAAGAATTCCCCTGCCCCAGCCACGGCTATACGCCCTACCCACCAGTAGCGATGCGCGAGGAAGAGACGGGTACATTCCGCAAGTGCGTGGCAAAATGCGCGAATCACACTTGGGTCATCTCAATCATCCCCGAAATACATTCTTCGCTTCCCTTAATTTGACTAACGAGGCAATCGGGTCCTTCGAGCTCGTGAAGTCCCTAAAAAGCAGAATCAATGGGATGTTTCTTCGCTCCAAGTGTGATATACGCACTGAACGGCAGGACTGTCCAAACGCATGAACACGTTCCAATTCTTCTCGTCGCCTATTGTTGATTTCCCTGTCGTGCAGGATCCTTCCTTTGCGATGCGCCGAAGTTGCTGGACAGCCTCATTTTTAGGGTCAACCTATTCATCGTCAGCACGAAACATCCGGGTGACACAAATGGCCCCAATCTCTCTCCCCACTCACATGTGCTCCAAATGCTGCTGAAGCAGTCGTGTATTCATGTCCATTATACACGACTGTATCGTCAGGAAGGGTTCCCAGATAAGACAATGAGTTGTGCATGTCCTCTGCAGTCCCCTCAAAGAAACGTCCACAACCGGCTATGAATAATGTATCACTGAGAAAACGGGTACTAGTTAATGCACCCGAAATTGGTGTGTAGAAACGGGACTTACCCAGTAAACACCCCCTTCTGACCAGTTTTGGCATCCTCGAAGAAGAATGATATTGAGTCCTGCGTATGACACGGAGTGGCCAGGCAACTAGAGTAAAGGCATTGTCCAGTCAGGCCACACGAAGCATTCTGGGAACGTGCCTTATTTTGATGTCATTTCCTAACGTGAACTCATCTTTGTCTTTAACTTGTTTGGTCAATGCCGTAATCTGCTTCGATCCTCCATAGACAGGCGTCCCTGGATGCTTTCTTACCTGATAGAATTAATGCTATATGTGTGTATCGTAGAAATTAATATAAAAATCTTACGAATTCCTCATTCCCACCTGAATGGTCATGGTGGTGATGAGTTGTGATGATAGCCTCGATGTGAACCCCGGCTTCCAAAGCGGCGTCATCTACCTTCTTCACATCGTACTACAAGAGAGGTTATCGTTGAGTGCAAACAAAGCGGAGGAATATTGAGCCATATTACCTACAGGGTCAACAGCGGCAGCCTTCTTAGTGGACTCATCCACCAAAAGATATGCGTAATTGTCCGATCGAACGGGCACAGGGATCACTAGCATTTTGCGACTGCACGATTTAAGAACAACATTTCGCTCAGTTGAAGCTTAACCCATTCAGCTTTGGTGGACCTACCTCGCAGTGTGCACGATGTTCCGTCTTAACGAACGGGTGGATATGGGTGAGAGAAGTCTTCGATACATCACACGTCACGCAGATAGTCACGTCACACGAGTAGCGTCACTCGCGCCCCCCCGATTGTTCGCACGCAACGACGTGGACACCCCCGGCGTTCATTATTCACCTGAAACTCTTCTCTCCATGCAGCCAGAATTCAGAGGAATTTGATTTGTTCGCCAATTGAGGGTCGGATAACTGCCGAAGGAAGTCGTCGCCCGCCTTGTCCTGCCAACGATATTCTCCCAATTGCGTGTGTGTTCCCGGAACCTCCACGTAGTTCATGTCTTTCGCAGACTGCATGCACCATCACAGGGTTGGGGTCAGGGGCCCACATGACAATGGGACAATTGAGGGATGTCAATTCTGGGATATACATGCGGACTATGCGAATCGTAAACAATCAAATTTAATCATTACATCCTAACTCCAGCCCTCAAACGTGCGCATAGACACTACGTCTGTCACGAGCAAACACGTAGAACTTTTATCGAACAATTGCACCGGGCGGCGGGGCGGTGGCCAGGATAGACACTAAGCTGGGCTGCCTTGCCTACTTTAGTAGAGGCTGTGATCCTGCCAAGCCATCATTTCGGATGCTATCTGAGTGCATTCAAAACTTTGCGCTTCAACCCTCAACGTGTTGAGGCTGTGTTAGTATTCCCGCTTCGCATTCGGGAACTCATTACCTTATTTCCCATCCGGACGATCCCTACATGTAACCTCGACGCGCGTAGATTACAATAGGGGTAGCCACACTGTTGCGTCGTCACGCGACCGCGGGGTAACAAGAGACAGCAACAACAACAATCCTATCTGAAAATCACCTGGGGTAACATGAGCAGCGTCCATCATAAAAGAAATACGAAGAAAGGCAGAAAGGTACAAGGGTTAAGCGCGTGCCAGCCAAGCCAATGCACCTAAATTTCACATTAGCTAGTCGCCTTCGCCTTGCTATCCGCAGCTCGCCAGGCACGAATAAGGATCGGCATGGCATGGCTTCTGCCGGTTATAATCTCCTACTACGAGTTGCCTCCCCCTGTCCTCTCCTGACATTTTGGACACCATGAGCGCCACTGACACCGTCAAGGTTTTGCAGGATGCCTTGGAGGTTTTTCGTCCGCATACCAAGGGTCCAGTGCGCAGAGGCTTCGACAAACCCCGCTGGGAGATGAGCAACCTCCACACCATCATACTAACAGGTTTGAAGAGCGTATATGAAGTACGTCTGCCATTGGCCCCGTAACAAAGAGAGTGCTGATTTCCCAGCGAGCAGAAAGCACTGACTGTCCCCGAGGAGAAACATCGAGCCTTTGTCGGATACTGCTTACAATGGGTCGGGGTGCGTTCACGTCCACTGGGGGCGGGAATATCCCAATATATTTCTCTAACATAAAACTCTTTTTTCAGTACATCATAAATCATCATTGGATCGAGGAAAACCTCTATTTTACACATTTCCCAGAATCGTTTACCCAAACCCAGACCATTTTCTCCGAGCACCAAACTTTTCACGCCAAAATCGAGGAGATGAAAACATATCTCACCAACTGTCTTCCCATTGGCACGAAATGGGGCCTTCGCGATACGGTAGAGGAAAGCGCGTCTCGAACTCAGAAAGAGCCTGTGGCATTTGACGGCGCTCGTCTGAAGGCGATCATAGACACCTTCATCGTTCCGCTGACTACGCATGTGAGCAACACTTCCACGCGATATCTCAAACGAGCGAGCAGTGTTCTCATAATGTTCATTCGCATCAGTTGCAAGCTGAGATAACTTATCTTGATCCAGAAAATATCAAAGCATCAGGGATGACGGAGAAGCAGCTCGAAGAAATGGATAAAGCTGTCATGGCTCATATCAGATCCTTGGTGCGTACGACAGGCTTTCGCTCCACACTATTTACGGCTCAATCGACTACATCTGTATAGGGCCCTCATCCGTTGCTCATGTATACTGTGTATCACTTGCCGAAGGACGTCGAGTTTCCCCCTGCTCCAAAGTTCGTAAAGAGGATTCTCGTCCCTTGGATATTTCACTGGAAGGGCAGTCAGGTATGTAATTTGAGTAAAAGAAACACACACATACAATTGAGCTCGCCCAACCCCTTGTCGTTTTCTTAGTGGTGGCAATTTTGCCCTAAGAGATTTGAATGAATGATTTGGGCCCAGAATTTCCCTGGGCGCTCCATTTTCATGACCCACATTGGTTTCAAGTCGTGTATACTTTCATATCAATGATGTTCTCCCTCGTAGCGGCACTCTAGCCAAAGGCGGTTAGCCAGACGGGGGCTGTCGGTTTCCCCTTTAGCGTATGGTCGTCCACCCCAGAAAGTTACAGTCCAATACCACATGCACAGCCAACTCCATGATCCGAATCACAATGAATTATCGTCGAAACTTTCCGATGATCAGACAAATTCATGACAAACAATCCGCTCCAAAAACCCCGACAGCCAAAGCTTGACCTAGAACAGATCCTCCACTAACAACTGATCCTTGTGACTTGACGCCGAATGATACCACACGCGAATCATTCAATGAGAGTAGAACAGAGGTGGTGGACACCCTTTCCCAGGTGTGGAAAGACAGGGATGGTACCAGCTGGAACCGAGGGTGGTGTGGATCAAGATGGCCAGTGTAGTGGCGCAAGAGTCCGAAAGCTCTAGGGACCTAGATCATATGCAAATCGCGGTGCTTTGTTCATGGAACATGGAAACGGAGACCATAGGGATTGGGGTTATACGGCATGTGGGGGCTTCAGCAAGTGCCGATCATTGCTGTTGATTTCAGCGTGGGGGTTCCTAAGGCTCCGAGACCCGTCATGACATGCACAAGGGCGAAATGTTGTCATCCTCAGGCCCCAAGATCATTTCCGCAGCTCTCTCTTTGATCATATAGACTAGGCAGGACTACTCTGAGCAGATTCGAATGGCTTTCCTTGAATGATTCACCTTTGGCGCCGATCGTCCTTCCCGCTTCCTTAGCGCTTGCTGCCCTCGTGCTTGTACCTTCCGGACTGGTAAGTCCTCACCTAGTTGTAGCAGGGCTGGGAACTTATATGTGCGCTTCAGACTACTCGTGCTGTGTTTCCCACGTAAGTTCGCCTCACTTTGCGCCCACTCCGCGCGGAGTCTCACTGTCGCACTGCTCGCTGCCCCTCGTCTCGTCCCGAATCGGCAAACCCAGCTGAATCATCAGGGCTTGATTCTCGAGTCCCATCCGCTGGAGCAGAGACCTTGGCTCGCTTACCCGATTGTTCACCTCGCGGCCCTCTGATTGCGGCTTCTGTTCGGGTACAGTTCGGCTGCCAACCTTGCTTCAAAAGGGTCGCTTTTTGGTTATAGTCGGCGAGCATTTCTGCAGAAGGGAGCCGAAGACTGGTGGCTCTGTGTTACAGGAATGGGTTCTGGGGAACCCAGCCTGAGCCATTCTGCTCACGGACAGAGGTGGCTGCGTAGCCGTTGAAGGGAGAGCAGGAGGTGATCTGAGGCCGGGTGTACTAACGGTAACTTGGTGCTCCAAGGAGCATACCAGCAGCGGGTGTGGTGGCTTGCTAGCGGTAACTTGGCACTCCGAGGAGCATACCGGCAGCGGGTATAATGGGGGCTCCTTGAGGAAGCCACCTAACAGTTGGCTAGTGGTGACTTGGTGCTCCGAGGAGCGTACCAGCAGTGGGTATAATGGGGACACCTTGAGGGAGCCACCTAACGGTCAGCTAGCGGTGACTTGGCACTCATGTGAGTGTACTGGTAGCGTGGGTAATTGGCACTCCTTGAGGGAGCAGCCCAGTGGTTGACTATTGGTTACTTGGTGCTCAGGGGAGTGTACCAGTAGTGGGATTTGTTGGGACAGGCAGGTTGGTTGACCAGTGCACAGTAGTGAGTGGCCATGGGAATTTGGGCCCACAGGTACGTGGCCAGGCATCCTGGGGCTGCCTGAGTCACTTCTCCCTCCCAAGAAGGGAGGAAGGGTTGTAGGACCCAGTAGGGTACTACAGGTGTTAAATTTCTTGGGATACAAGCGTACGCTGAGGCCAACTCACGTTGTTGATGTTGAGTCTTGCGGCGCTAAGATTTACTTTGTTTCCCTTTTTTGGATCAGTTGTTACTAAAGTCAGTGCGCATTGATAGCGCCTGACTATAAAACACCATTTTTTGGACCTTACGACTTTTCCTCAGTTCACGCATAGCGGACTGAGGTGAGTCTAAGTTTTCTCCTTCATTTATGTGTTTAACAACTTGTATCTAATATTCTTACACCAGCGACAACATTGCTAGGTGAATACTTCCTATATATTTCTAGTTCACGCATAGCGGACTGAGCGACAACATCGCTAGTCCATCATTTCGTCTTATAACAGGAAGGGTAGGAATGGGAACTCAACCACCCAGTGGGGGGGTGGGAGCAGGAAGAGTAAGGTCTGGCATCTGAGCACTCACCAGGCCGTTGAGGTCTTCTCACAGATTGTAGGAATATCAATGTAGACATCGATAAGGGTCAAGTCAGATGTTACAGGGAAGGTTTACAGGTGGTGGCACACTGGGGTGGCAGTTACAATCACTGGGTGATAGTTTGAGATTGTATATTTGATAAAGAGAACATTTCCAGCATCTGCCTTACATGTCATATGACTTCTAACTATCTAATATAAAAGTCACAATGGTCAAGGGAAGTCCCTTGAAACTCAACAAATCCCCCAGCCAGCACCAAAACCCAGTGGGAAAGCTTGGCATGGGGTTTGGCAATGAAATAAAGGAGGAGGAAATGGAGGTGACCCTGGGTCCCCTTGCTTGCAGCCATGGACCATAAGATTCTAGTCCATTTCCATAACACTCTGGCTGAAGTTGTCCAGGGTTGTTGTCACAAACCTCTTGGTGCTAAGAGCATGAGAACGGAGTGGAATGGAGCGAGAGTTGTGAGATCACAAGAAGTGAGGTCACGAGCAAGAAGATCATGAGCCACAAGTCACAAGATCACAAGAAGTCAATTCAGGTTGGCAACCTGTGTTGACCAGTTGAAGAATCCATCTTCACTTGTCAACTCCTTATATACATGAAAACAGGCTAACACATGCAAGATGAAACAAGAGAGACATCCGAGTCATACAGGTAGTCACAAAGCTACATGAATTGGGATGGAACTGAAATAGGCAAGACATGTGAGACGAAGACATGCAAGATGTCTGTCAAGTCCAACACGTGAGATGTCCATCAAGTCTGTTTGGGGTTACAGCTAAACCATAACACTACCTTCCCTCTTTCCAAAAATGCACAGCCCTCATCCTCAAGTCCCAATCCAAAAAAATAATCATCTGGAAATCTGTTCTATGATCTTGTCATGATTCGGTGGGTGTGCCACATGTCCTGAGCGAGTTGTAGTCCGAGTGGGAGGTGTATAATAACCTGGTTCTGTCTCCCATTCATCACTCGGTAATGGTGCGAGTACGTCTGGCGATCTGTGAGGTGCTTCCCTCTGTTTATGCTCTGGGCTTGAGTTTAAGAATGATGGACGTGGGAGTTTTGGATGTCAGCAATGGAAGGTCTCGATTACTTCGTTGTAAGTTCTGGGAATATCAGTTAAAAGATACCAACTAGTCTTGGAGGGAACCTTATTGACATGTTCCACCAGGTATTCGAATGTCAGGGCACACTGTTATGGATACGGAGTCTCCAACGACCATATCCATCGCAAAGTCAAAGACTTCTCCTCTTTATCGTTCCCCCCTCTTTCTCCCTTTCGTCCTCTATCCCGATACCCTACCCTCCTTACTCGTTCTACCCCTTCCCCCCCCTCATGCAAAGCTTTCCCCATTGGGGTTTTGGTGCTGGCCGAGGTTACTTGTGTTTCGCGGGATTTCCTGCAACCTTACCATTTGTAGATAGTCACGTGTCTTGTACGGAAACTGCTGAAGGCGGTTCCTGCTAACTAACAACTACTCTCTACAACTGTCTTGTGTGTAATCTTCTGTAACAACCCATCCTGTGACTCAACTGAACCATGTGACTGTACAACTCACAACATGTCTTATAAGTCTGGTTATGTTGAGTCCTCTAACGGTCCTCACCGTGAGAACTCGAGGTCGCGAGTCGAAGACTCTCGACATGTGTATCATCCTATGGAATCTGTACCCTATGGGACTTCATCACTCCGCTCTCCCCCCAGTGCTCGACAGACGACGTCACATCATGATCTTGGAGATCGTGAATACTCTGAGGTCCACTTTCCCGTGATGCCGGCACGTTCGCTATGCGAACGCCAAGTAGCCACCCATCCACCGTCTGTTCCCTCCTTCATCAGTCATCATATTCCCCCACCAACGGTACGTTCCCTTTGGGAACGCCAAGTCACCGAAGGCCCCGTTAGTCAATCCTCATTGCACACTCATGATATCAACCCACTACCGGTATGTTCGCGCTGCGAACGCCAAGTACCTGATGGCAGTTATACAAAGTTCTCACCCACCTCACGAGTCGCGACCTCGCACACGGTACGCTCCATTGAGGAGCGCCAAGTACCCATGGCTGACCCATCCGTCATGACGTCTCCAACTACCTACCATCAATTCCTTAATAGCTCACTACATCACCAATCACGATTGATGGGAATTCAATCATCCACTCCCATGCAAGACTGGGATCACTCATCGATTACATATCCTGTTATGGTACAGACTAGATATGACGTTCATCATCCCGCTATAAGAATGGATCGAGGAATGGGGATTTCCCCCCATCCCCAGAACACACACCCGCCTGACCCGGGTCCACCTGGACCCACCCGGCCACACCACACCCGCTCCCCACTGTCCATCCCTCTCCCTCCTCCTTCCTCCCTCTCTTCCCCTTTCTTTTCTCTCTTTCTTCTCCTTTCTTTATCTCATTCTTCTCATCTTCCTCTTCCTGTTTATTTCCTTCTATCTACACGGACCACCTTCCTTTGTATCAATGTACTATCGACCTGTCTGGCCCACACACCCCGGACGGCTTCCCACTGTGCCCAGCATGCGCACATGCAGCGGACGCTCTCGGGATCCCCCACAGGGACACCTGGATGCCCATGGCTGTCTCCGAGGATGACGTGGCACTCGTCATGTGACTCAAGCCGCATGTACATAAATGTACCTGAAGTGGGAACTGAAGAAGTAACCTTCTTCT